TGGTGTTGCCTGTCCCTAATCGAAGAATGTTCCCAACAGCAGATTGACGATATCGATAGCTCGTTAGATCGATCGTGTCTCAGAAAACACCTGTATGTTTCCTGTCACACCTGCGGGTCCCATCAACCCGGCCGCGCGTTAGTCTGGGGTGTCGTGTATTACAGATGTGTGCACGATGGACGGGCTGGTAGTATGACACGATTAGCGTCTCGCATTGTCTCATGTAGACAGGACGTGGCCGGTACTTAATGGGCGGACAAACACCAAAGATACGACTGTGTCTAATGCGGCGGATCCTGTGCTATGCCCTACTCTAGGATGGACTCGATGCGAGACTACCTACTCCATTTTGTTTTAGATGTTCTAAATATAGCTCTACTGCTCCTCAATTTCATCTTTTTAATTATTAACCTTAAGATTGCTCGTCCAAAGTCTGGTCAGCTAGCCTGGTGGATCAGTGGATCTTATCCGCAGTGGATTGGTAGGACCTGAGCAGTGGATTGGTGGATCCTATGAGCAGTGGGTTAGTGGATCCCGATAGTGTGAGTTGAAGCAGTTTTTTTTATCGTCTTGAACACGTTGTTTTGTTTTTAAGTACTCCCGTTTCCCTAACCTGAAATGGCTTTATTTAAAAGGCAATGACCCATTGTGTGAAACTAAACATACATCACCAAGTAAAGTGCTGTGTAGTAAATATCGTTTGGTTTTTTCAGTTGTCCACACTCACCCCTCACCTAACACAGAACTGACCAGTTTGACCCGCCAATGTTAGTGTCACGCTAAAGCAGAGCGGTAGCGAGGGCGGGGGAGGGGGGAGCGAGACGCACCAGGTGACACCATTTAGGGGGGGGGGGGGTGACACCAAGGCAAAAATGTGCAACATGTAGTTAAGGAAAATGTTTTTTTGCCAGTTCAACCTAATGATTAATTTAAAGTCAAATAGTATTTTACGTACAATTCGACAATTATTACATTTCACACACACACACACACACACACACACACACACACACACACATATATATATAATATATATATATATAATATATATATATAAATATATATATAATATATATATACTTTTGGGGTGAGGTGACACCACGAAGTGCCCGCATCTGTTGGACACCCGACCTAACGACGCACTGTGCTAAAGTACTCGTTAGTTTAATTAAGGTCAACTGATGCATGTTAGTGTCACGCTAAAGTACTCGTTAGTTTAATTAAGGTCAACTGATGCATGTTAGTGTCACGCTAAAGTACTCGTTAGTTTAATTAAGGTCAACTGATGCATCTTAGTGTCACGCTAAAGTACTCGTTAGTTTATTATTGTCAACTGATGCATCTTAGTGTCACGCTAAAGTACTCGTTAGTTTAATTAAGGTCAACTGATGCATGTTAGTGTCACGCTAAAGTATTCGTTAGTTTAATTAAGGTCAACTGATGCATCTTAGTGTCACGCTAAAGTACTCGTTAGTTTAATTATTGTCAACTGATGCATCTTAGTGTCACGCTAAAGTACTCGTTAGTTTAATAAAGGTCAACTGATGCATCTTAGTGTCACGCTAAAGTACTCGTTAGTTTAATTATTGTCAACTGATGCATCTTAGTGTCACGCTAAAGTACTCGTTAGTTTAATTAAGGTCAACTGATGCATGTTAGTGTCACGCTAAAGTACTCGTTAGTTTAATTAAGGTCAAACTGATGCATGTTAGTGTCACGCTAAAGTATTCGTTAGTTTAATTAAGGTCAACTGATGCATGTTAGTGTCACGCTAAAGTACTCGTTAGTTTAATTAAGGTCAACTGATGCATGTTAGTGTCACGCTAAAGTATTCGTTAGTTTAATTAAGGTCAACTGATGCATGTTAGTGTCACGCTAAAGTACTCGTTAGTTTAATTAAGGTCAACTGATGCATGTTAGTGTCACGCTAAAGTATTCGTTAGTTTAATTAAGGTCAACTGATGCATGTTAGTGTCACGCTAAAGTATTCGTTAGTTTAATTTAAGGTCAACTGATGCATCTTAGTGTCACGCTAAAGTACTCGTTAGTTTAATTAAGGTCAACTGATGCATCTTAGTGTTAGGGGAGAAGAGGATTTTTAAATGCGCATGCGCAAACGAGTTCAATGTATTGTTAATTAGCATAATCCAATTAAAGCTAGTTTGTCTCTTTATTTTTATCAAAGATTAATTAAACTAGATTTTGGAAGGGGAGGTAGAGGGAGCGGAGAGCAGTGTTTCTTTCAGACATTTTTCTCCAAGTGGGGAGGAGCGCTTGAAACTTTCGGAGGGGGGGGGGGCGTACTTAAATTTTCAGGGGGGGGGGGGGGGGGGGAGGGCGGACACTGGTTAGAGTACATCTTTTCTATTTAAATTAAATATCTTTTTCTATTTCTGTCTCCGCCCCTGGAGAGAGCTCGACGGAAGCTCTGGAAGAATGGGTGACCTTTTTGACCCCGGTGTTTTCTCGGTTACTGACCTCCTACCACCCCCCCCCCCCCCCCCACCACCACCACCACGAAGAGATGCCTGAAAGAAACACTGCCCCTGATTGAGTTTACACAATCAGACACGCGACAACCTTCCGCTGTTGATCCTGTTGATGTGTTGTTGACGTGTCGGAAATCTGTAACAGGTGGTGTGTACGGTGAGCACATGTCAAAAGATTCCCCCCCCCCCCCCCCAACTAACCAGACGCCGTGCATAATTCTATTGTACAGCAACAAAGTTGCGCATCTCCACGTCATACACCGAATTTTCTGACCTTGGCTATTTTTAGCTGAATTGTAAGCTGTAAAAAAAATTAGCTTTCGCCGTCAGTTCAGTCTAGACCTGGCTAAACCAGGAGGTTGTACCGTGTGTTCTGTTACTCTTTGTGGATATTATAATTTAATTTTAATCTTTGTGGATATTCTAATTTTATTTTACTCTGTGGATATTTTAATTTTCTTTTACTCTTTGTGGATATTCTAATATTATTTTAATCTTAGTGGATATTTTAATTTTATTTTACTGTTTGTTAATATTCTAATTTTGTTTCAATGTTCGTGGATATTCTAAATTTATTTTAATCTTTGTGGATAATCTGGATCTCTGGCTACAGACACAACTTTAATTCTGTGCTCTCCTCTTGATAAGTTTTATGTCACGTTAATTGGAAACGACAAGCCAGAAACGAAAGTGTAGTTAATTAATTGACATTTCTCATTAGCCAGTTTCGTGGAAAACGTTATAGATCTAAGTGAAGCTGTCTATGGTAAAAGTACATTTACTGTCTAAGATAAAGAAAGGATTAACACAGCAACTACTGACACAAAAGTATTGCCTTTTTTTAATGTGGTTTAAGTAAGTAAATATTCGATTGACAATTACTTTTAATTGTTTGTAAATTGTGATAATTATCCGTTTCTATGTTTGTGTGTAGGACTAGATTGCTGGGCCTGTTATTTTCAAAGGTATTGATTAGTGTAAGAGTGCTTCGTGCTTTAGTTTCCATGTACGTGTGTACATTTGTATCGAGCGCTGGGTGTTATGTATAACTGTATGTTTTACGTATGTTTATGTAGCCTGCTGGTAAATATACACACACCAGCCACGTGAGTCTGAGGTTGCATCATCAACGCACGAGCCGACAAAAATGCTTCGTTTACGTTTCGTCCTCTCCCTTCCCCCCCCCCCCCCCCCCCCCGCCTCCCCTTCTCTCCCACTTTCTCTATTTGCCTTGCGACCTTAAAGTGTGTTTCTCCTTGAACTGTTTTAGAACATTATTAACTGCTTAGGGCCTAGGCTAACCCACATACCGATTTTAAAACAATTACAAAATGGTGGCAAGTTTATCGCTAGTGTGCAGATGTTGTTGTAATTAATAAAAGTTTAGTGGTTGCCAGCCCCCCCCCCCCCCCGCCCATCTCCACCCCCACATTCAATCCACTCCACTGATTCCAGTCTTTTACAATAACAATAGGCGTACAAACTAGACTCTACTTGTATCAAGTTAAAATAACAGTAGGCGTACAGACCACTCATATCATCAAGACATAGATTTTGGTGACATTTTAGTTTTCACAGTTAAATTATTTTGTAGGCGGTTGACGAAAGTAACCTTTGACATTTATAGACAGTCTTTTTATGTCGGTGTTTTGTTGGTGTTTGGTTGTTGGCTGTAATGTTGGTGTTTTGTAGTTGGCTGTAATGTTGGTGTTTTATTGTTAGTTGTTATATTGGTGTTTTGTTGTTGGTGTTTTGTTGTTGGTGTTTTGTTGTTCGTGTTTTGCTGTTGGTGTTTTGTTGTTGGTTGTTATGTTGGTTGTTGTGTTGGTGTTTTGTTGTTGGTGTTTTGTTGTTGGTGTTTTGTTGTTGGCTGTAATGTTGGTGTTTTGTTGTTGGTTGTTATGTTAGTGGTTATGTTGGTGTTTTGTTGTTGGTGTTTTGTTGTTGGCTGTAATGTTGGTGTTTTGTTGTTGGTGTTTTGGCTGTAATGTTGGTGTTTTGTTGTTGGTGTTTTGTTGTTGGTTTTTTGTTGTTGGTGTTTTGTTGTTGGTGTTTTGTTGTTGGTTTTTTGTTGTTGATGTTTTGTTGTTGGTGTTTTGTTGTTGGTGTTTTGTTGTTGGTGTTTTGTTGTTGGTGTTTTATTGTTGGTGTTTTGTTGTTGGTGTTTTGTTGTTGGTGTTTTGTTGTTGGTGTTTTGTTGTTTGTTGTTATGTTGGTGTTTTGTTGTTGGTGTTTTGTTGTTGGTGTTTTGTTGTTGGTGTTTTGTTGTTGGTGTTTTGTTGTTTGTTGTTATGTTGGTGTTTTGTTGTTGGTGTTTTGTTGGTGGTGTTTTGTTATTGGCTGTAATGTTGTTGTTTTGTTGTTGGTGTTTTGTTGCACACAGTGGCGTAGCGAGGTCGGGTGTCACCCGGTGCGGCACTTAATGGTGTCACCCCCCCCCCCCAGAGGCATAGAGACCCTTCCCAGGGACAAACTTTCAAATTTTCGATTTGCACCCCCCCTCAAACTTTCGATTTGCACCCCCCCCCCCTCGAGTTTTCGATTTGCACCCCCCCTCCGAGTTTTTCTCTATATATTTTGCTATTTTTTGCCTTGGTGTCACCCCCCTAAATGGTGTCACCCGGTGCGGTCCGCACCCCCCGCCCCCCCCCCCCTCGCTACGCCCCTGGTTGCACATATTCACCAACCGTCTTACAAGTTCAGCACCTAACGTACACTTAGCAGGCGGAACCAATCAGATTATGCAGTAACACGTGACCAGGTGACGTACGGGACGTAGCAGAACTGGCTGGCATCTGAGGCAGATGGTCGCTTTAACCTCCTTTTGACCGATGGACATTTTACTTCCATCATGAAAGTTTGGAGCCGAGGACACCTAGCCCAGTACTGCACGCACCAGTTAGGTCATCGAATAGAGAGATCTCCGCTCTGAAAGGTCACCCGGTGATGGCAGATTTAGACCGACCATTTAGCAGACCAGGGGCTCCTAACTTGGATGACCTACAAAATGTGTTCATTGTTTACAACGTTCATCTGTGTTGATGCTTTACTCACAAATTTAGACCCTCTGATTTTTATGGTCACGATACTCATTCAAGATCACAGAGAGTAGTGATCGATTGTAAAAGGTTCCTGGTGTGGCACTAAAACATTACTCTGCTATTGGATTAGTCTAAAAGATTTCAAATACATTCACCAAATTATTTCAGTGTACTCGGCCGTGACTTAAGGAAAAAATTTATTTCAGATTTTTCTTCTGTTTATTCGTTGTTTTTACTTTACTCTTACATGACATATTTCTTCACTAGGAAACAACGAGAGAGCAGAAGTTGACGTCACACAACCCAAGCGGATCTTGACGTCACACAATCCAAGCAGAAGTTAACGTCACACAAACCCAGCAGACGTTGCCCCCAGCCCCAGAATGCGCGTGTCCTTCCCTGACCTGATCGCCAAGAAGCGAGATGGCCACGAGTTGTCTGACGAGGAGATTCGCACGTTCGTCAGTGGAGTGGCTGATGGCACAATGGACGCGTGTCAGATTGGTGAGATACATGTCATGTCAGATTGGTGAGATACATGTCATGTCAGATTGGTGAGATACATGTCATGTCAGATTGGTGAGATACATGTCATGTCAGATTGGTGAGATACATGTCATGTCAGATTGGTGAGATACATGTAAGATAGGTGAGACACATGTCAGATAGGTGAGACAGGTGTCATGTTAGATAGGTGAGACACGTGTCAGATAGGTGAGACACATGTAAGATAGGTGAGACAGGTCAGAAAGGTGAGACACATGTCAGATAGGTGAGACACGTGTCATGTCAGATAGGTGAGACAGGTGTCAGATAGGTGAGACACAGGTCACGTCAGATAGGTGAGACATATGTCATGTCAGATAGGTGAGACACGTGTCATGTCAGATAGGTGAGACACGTGGCATGTCAGATAGGTGAGACATATGTCATGTCAGATAGGTGAGACATATGTCATGTCAGATAGGTGAGACATATGTCATGTCAGATAGGTGAGACATATGTCATGTCAGATAGGTGAGACATATGTCGTGTCAGATAGGTGAGACACGTGGCATGTCAGATAGGTGAGACATATGTCATGTCAGATAGGTGAAACATATGTCATGTCAGATAGGTGAGACACGTGTTAGGTCAGATATGTGAGACATATGTCATGTCAGATAGGTGAGATATATGTCATGTCAGATAGGTGAGACATATGTCATGTCAGATAGGTGAGACATATGTCATGTCAGATAGGTGAGACATATGTCATGTCAGATAGGTGAGACACATGTCATGTCAGATAGGTGAGGCATATGTCATGTCAAACAGGGGAGACACATGTCATGTCAGATAGGTGAGACACATGTCATGTCAGATAGGTGAGACACATGTCATGTCAGATAGATGAGACACAGATCATGTCAGATAGCTGTATCATTTAAACAGATGTCACGTTAATTAGTTGAAAATCAAAATTACGTGTCATGCGAATGTCATGGGATGTACATCACATGCCGTTACACATTTCACAAACTCCCAACACGATTTGGACGCTATACTTTGTGATGAATAATCCCCCCCCCTCCTCTTTAAGCTTCTACTGACACATCATTTAACCCCAACATTTGCTGTATGACCCATGCTGAAGGGCCTGTCCAACTAACACATTTAACCCCAACATTTGATGTATGACCCAGGTGCCATGCTGAAGGGTCTGTCCAACTAACACATTTAACCCCAACATTTGATGTATGACCCAGGGGCCATGCTGATGGCCATCTACCTGAAGGGCCTGTCCAACTAACACATTTAACCCCAACATTTGATGTATGACCCAGGTGCCATGCTGATGGCCATCTACCTGAAGGGTCTGTCCAACTAACACATTTAACCCCAACATTTGCTGTATGACCCAGGTGCCATGCTGAAGGGTCTGTCCAACTAACACATTTAACCCCAACATTTGCTATATGACCCAGGGGCCATGCTGATGGCCATCTACCTGAAGGGCCTGTCCAACAAGGAGGTCTCCTCCCTGACACGTGACATGAGGAACTCAGGCACGACCCTCACGTGGCCAGAGGAGTGGAGGGGCAGGCTGGTGGACAAACACAGCACAGGGGGCGTGGGCGACAAGGTCAGCCTGGTACTGGCACCAGCTCTGGCAGCGTTTGGTCTCAAGGTCAGTCGCTAGAGGGGGTTATGGGGGGTAGGGTTTTATTTTATTTCAGGCGTGGTTAAAGTAGTGGTTTTTATTGTAGAAGTGCAAACGGTAATACATTTTATTTTAGAAGTGCTTTCGGTAATGACTTTTATTTTACACAAAGCTCTTTAAATGTTATAGAAGTAGGACACGTCCATATCCATATTGCATGTAATGTCTGCATGTTTCTGGTCAAATAATTTCTAAATGTCTCATATTTCAGGTGCCCATGATATCCGGCCGTGGTCTGGCACACACAGGTGGGACGCTGGACAAACTGGAGGCGGTGCCAGGGTTCAGGTGTGACCTCACCTTCCAAGAGATGACGGACATCCTCGGCTCTGTCGGCTGCTTCATCTCCGGACAAACCAAAGATATCTGTCCGGCCGACAAAAAAACATACGCCGTACGTGACGTCACAGCCACCGTGGACGACATTGGACTAATCACGGGTTTGTGTTCGCCATTTTTATTGGTTGGTGGATAGGGTTGGCACTTTTGATGACACCAAATTTCGTATAGTGGTTTATTTCACACTTTCTTCAAACGAGCTAGAAAAGGCCAGCTAGTTGGGTTAATGTGTTGTGTGGATTACGTCATTTCTCAGCCTAAGTTAATAGTTTTAAGTGGTAAGTAAAGTATCCTTTCGAACCTGGCGGTTCGTGGGGGCTAGTGAAGTAGAGTTCTCCTGTTTCAGTGACCTCGGCATTTGGCGTATAAGAAGAAAGGGTGGTCAGCAGTATTCCCAGACACTTTTGCTTTCCTTAACATGAGTCGGGCACTCATCAGAGCTCTGGGCGTTTTACTGACACGAACACGCAATTCGAACATAAAACTTTCAGGTTAGCAGTCATATGCTCTAACATCCAACCATGTCGTCCCACAAATGTGTGATTGTAAACTAATGTTATGCTTAGTCTTTTCTCGAGCTAATTTAAAAGTATAGTTTTGTTTCTTATGGTATTGATAAGGGGTCGTCCATAAGTGACGAGGGTGGGAGTGGGGATCGGTAATTTTGTGACAATATGTGATGCTGGGGTGGGGAGGAGGGAGGCAAAAACATCACCAAAAAAGCGGGACGTCATTTATGGAAGACCCCTAAGCGTTTTGATTTATTTTCAGCTTCTATCGTATCTAAGAAAGCTGCTGAAAACATTCACGCTCTTGTGTTAGACGTCAAGACCGGAAGTGGTGCGTTCATAACGGACAAGTCCAAAGCCGCCATGTTGGCCAAGTCCATGGTAACGTCATAACATGCTCCTACAATCACCATTTTAATTAAAGAAACTATACGTCCTTTGTATATGCTTCTGGTTACTTTTGGAATGTTTAAAATGATGCCGACTTTATGCCCCCCCCCCCCAATATAGGTATCATGTAGTGAAAGCCTGGGCACCAAAACAGTGGCACTGCTAACTGACATGGACTCGCCGATTGGGAACATGGTTGGGAATGCTCTAGAGGTCATTGAATCCATTCAGTGTTTACAAGGGAAAGGTCCTAAAGATTTGCTTGACCTTACAGTCAGTTTAGGTCAGTATTCAGAATTTCCCTTAGCCTTTTTGTCATTTGTATCTTTGACCCATTGAAAACAAAAATAAATTTAATCTTAATTTTTAAAACTTTAATTAAATTGAATATACCATGAAAAAACTAAACAGTTGATATAACAGAGTGAGTTAAAAATTTCAAATTATTGCAATTATTGCATTACCTCCCCTGGTATGTCATTATTGCGTTACTTCCCCTGGTATGATTACAAACAGGTGGACATCTGCTACATGCCGGCAAGTTTGTTAAAAATGTGGAAGAAGGCTGTAAAACAATCCAGGAGAAAATAAACAATGGAGAAGCATTGGCCAGATTTTGCTCCATGTTAAAAGGCCAGGGTGTCAATAAACAATTAGCAGACGATCTGTGTGACCCAAACAACGACCCGAGATCATTTCTTCCAAAGGCCAAATCTCAGTCTCAGCTCTGCTGTCCATCTGCTGGTAATATATTTTTTTTTACACTTTAAAGAAAAATTAATAAATTCATTATTTTTAAAATAAAACGTTTTTATGAATGATATGCCAAGTAATAATAAAGTATTCCAACACGTTTAAAAAAAAATATTTTAAAAAATAGACCCTTCAGAAATTGGTAAATCGTAATAGAACAGAGTAATTTTAAACTTGAAATTATTTACTATTATTTATGAGTTTTAATGACATACCAATTATCCACCAGGCTACGTACAGCGGATTGATGCAATGGATGTGGCAGTAGCAGCCCATAAACTTGGGGCAGGTAGAAACTCACCTGGTGAACCTGTCAACTGGGCTGTAGGACTGGAGTTACTGGTTGATGTTGGTGATCAGGTGACCGCAGGTAACACTTGGTTGTTGGTTGATGTTGGTGATAGAAGGTAACACATGTTGATTGTTGGTTGATGTTGGTGATAGAAGGTAACACTTGTTGGTTGTTGTTGGTGATAGAAGGTAACACTTGTTGGTTGTTGGTTGATGTTGGTGATAGAAGGTAACACTTGGTTGTTGTTGGTTGATGTTGGTGATGTCATGTGATACTTTTTGTTGTTGGTTGATGTTGGTGATCACATGACATTTTTGTTGTTGGTTGATGTTGGTGATCACATGACATTTTTGTTGTTGGTTGATGTTGGTGATCACATGACATTTTTGTTGTTGGTTGATGTTGGTGATCACATGACATTTTTGTTGTTGGTTGATGTTGGTGATCACATGACATTTTTGTTGTTGGTTGCTGTTGGTGATCACATGACATTTTTGTTGTTGGTTGATGTTGGTGATCACATGACATTTTTGTTGTTGGTTGATGTTGGTGATCACATGACATTTTTGTTGTTGGTTGATGTTGGTGATCACATGACATTTTTGTTGTTGGTTGATGTTGGTGATCACATGACTTTTTTGTTGTTGGTTGATGTTGGTGATCACATGACATTTTTGTTGTTGGTTGATGTTGGTGATCACATGACTTTTTTGTTGTTGGTTGATGTTGGTGATCACATGACATTTTTGTTGTTGGTTGATGTTGGTGATCACATGACATTTTTGTTGTTGGTTGATGTTGGTGATCATGTGACAGAAGGTAACACTTTTTCATCTGGTGTTTTACGGAAATTTCTAGATTAACTGACCAACCAGAGGACCAGCAGTTGTGTTGTTTGACTCGTGACCCAATTATTCCATCAGAAAAATGTTACACCAAGGTTAACAAAATATTTATTTCTTGCAGGTCAAGCGTGGGTCAAGGTACATCACGACTCAGATTTATCGGATGAAATAATCCATCGTTTGACCAAGGCGTTGTTTATTTCTCAAAGTGTTGTCGATCCACGAACGTCCAGGGTCCAGGAAGTAATTGAGGGGAACAATGTCACAGAGAACTAAAGTCCATCTATATCAAAAATGATTTTAAGTTCAGAAATGATTAGCTTATAATACTTATCTTATTAATTTGCCTTTGGTTGAACAGTATAATTTACAAAGCAATTATTTTTATTTATTTTTTGTGAACATTGAACTGGCCTGTTAGAGAGTGTAAATTTGAGGGATTTTTACTTTGTTTACAATTTGCGACCCAATAGTTTTTGTCATATTTAGGTTCATAACCTTTGACTGTGTCACCTTTTGACATGTATGTGTCAGTCTGTAAAAATAGAAACTATCCATCTATTTGACCTTCTCAGACTCTGGCCCACAGTTGAAGCATGATCCTGTTCTACTAATTAAAGTGCGATTACAACAATTGGAAAATTAATAAAGAGATTAATTTTTTAAAATTTTCAATGTCACTATTTTTGTCAGGATTTGCACAACTAGCTGACACTGACTCTAGCTAATGAACATTGTGTCCTATCTATGCAAATGTTATGTCTTATCTACAACTCCAGACAACTTTCACTAAAATACTTGTTAAATGCCTTGTTACTTGAGTTATATTAATTAATTATAAAAAAAACTTTGTTGTAGCAATAATTAAAATACATGTTTTTGTAGGGTTTACTTACAGCCTTATTGTCTGACTGCCTAATTTTCTGGCTTCCAATGATTTGTATGAAGGTTAGGATAACAGCACACAAAGTACTTGTTTATGTTCTTTATATTTGGTCCGATGCTTTAAACTAATCAACCAACTGAAGTTCCCTGTAATTGTTGGTTGATGATTCCAAAGTGTACATGTTACTTTTGTTGACAGATTGTTATTGATTTGAAATCACATTTGTTAACAGATTGTTAATGATTTGAAATCAACTTGATTGTTTAGTGCTAGTCCCGGTGATGAAGTTTTGTGATGAAGTTTTGTGATGAAGTTTTTGTGGTGAAGTTTTTGTGGTGAAGCTCTGTGATAAAAAATGCTCTTGTAGAAGCTACAGCTGAGTTCAGCTGACCAGAAAAATTGTCTTGTTCTGATGGTTTGGTATGTGTGGATGATATTGAAGTTTAAAGAATATTTTAATATATTTTTTATAGAGCTATCTATATAAAAGCTTGTTGATAAATTATTAATTAAAACTTTCTACATTATTGATTTTTTTTCCTTCTTTCAAGATTTCATGGGGCTACAATGTATATAGTTTGATCATATTGGGCTACAGTGTATATAGTTTGATCATATTGGGCTACAGTGTGTATAGTTTGAACCTCTGTTTAGGATTTGAACTGACACATTCTTGACAAAAAATAAAAAAAAAGTACTGTACATAACGCATGAATTAAAATCCTATTTATTTCCATAACAATCCTTGAATCTTGTTCGTACAGCTTTTCAACTGGAAGCTTAGACCTGCTACTCCCATCACTACAAGCACTAAAGGTCATGTAAAAAAATGTTGAACAAAAACTTCTAGCTACAGATTTGTATTAAAAAATACTAGAAATACACTTTTTACTTGAATGCATATTTAGAATTTATTTAGGCTGTTTTAGTCGAGACATTGATGCAAAAACTGAATGAATCGAAGTATCATGTCTTCTCTGGCTCCATCAAGCACAAGCAATAAAAATTTTTCACTCAGTTAAAAAATGAATTAGAAAAAAATGGAGTATACAAGATGTAGACACACAAAAAAAATGTCGTTTAAAAAATTTAACAGTGATAACATTAAAAATCAACATTGATATCACAAGTTCCATTGCTCATATTAAGTACCATAGACAGTTCTGTAGGGCCATACTAACAACTTCACGCTCAACACAATCTAGTCACCTCACAAAGGATGACTGGCTAGTTAAGTCACAAAGGATGACTGGCTAGTTAAGTCATAATCCAGGTCATTCCAAGGCTGACTTGTGATGATAAAGTCAACTGCAGGTCACTGATCACACTGACCAGGGATTTCACATGACTCGGTCACATGACTTGGTCACATGACTTGGTCATATGACAACTTTCAGGAGCCAATAGATTTATATACAGAGAAATAGTGGCTATGAAGACATTGGGGTGGGGGGTGGAAGAAAGAGATGTAATGTTTGAATTTGGATAACTGATCCATTAGGAGATTCGATGTAGTAATAAAATCTAAATGAAACCCCAGTTTAAAAGACGAACAGATCGACGTAAACTAAACAGGAATGAGAATCAAATGGAATGGACAGTGAACCTAGCTATGAGATGAGGGCAATCACCTAAGTGAAAACAATAACCTGGGCATATCATGTCAAAGCTACCTTTATACTTAATCCTAGACTAGTGGGCATTTCAGCTATATATGACCTCTACAAGTAACACTAGCCTAATGGATATTTCAGGTATTTAGGACTTCTACACTTAACTTTAGACTAGTAGATATTTCAGCTATTTAGGACCTATACACCTAGCCTTAGACTAGTAGACATTTCAGCTACTTAGGACCTCTACACTTAACTCTAGACTAGTATACATTTCGGCTATTTAGGACCTCATTTCCAAACTTGCAGACAAGTTTCAGAAAGTCATACTAGATGTCCTTATTGGTTTCTTAATTTCTGAAACAATTATTTGCGTCAAACCTTTTTTGCAATCATCTTACAACTAAACAGAGTAAAAGGCATACATTGCAAAAAAAACAAACAAAATGTCACATATAATCTTGTATCAAACATGTTTTAGCTCAGAGCTGAAGAACCATGTAAAGAGTTGAGTTACAGTTCTTTAAGACTATTCAACTTGATCAGATTTGATGGCCACCATTTAAATAAATACACATTGTGGGAAAATACGCCTAACATATTGTTTGTGAGATTTAAAAATATGCCTAAAACATTGTTTTTAAAAATATGCCTACAATTTGTTTGTGTTATTTAAAAGAAAATAAAGTACCATGCTTATAACAAAGTGGCCTGCACTTAGAAGTTACGTTACTGAAGCAACAAAACTATGTACAAACCAAGTGTCTAGCACTGACTGATACACACCAACGTATTACATACTTACAAACAAGTTGGCTGACACACACCAAAATATTACGTACAATGAGCGTAATCATTCCAGGTGATTACAAAAAGGCAGTCATGAAAAAAAAACTAAAGCTGATGTAATATGTCCACAGTCAACTCCACAATCATTAGCAACAATTGAAACAACATAACCAGATGTAATATGTCCCCAGTCAACTCCACAATCATTAGCAACAATTGAAACAACATAACCAGATGTAATATGTCCCCAGTCAACTCCACAATCATTAGCAACAATTGAAACAACATAACCAGATGTAATATGTCCCCAGTCAACTCCACAATCATTAGCAACAATTGAAACAACATAACCAGATGTAATATGTCCTCAGTCAACTCCACAATCATTAGCAACAATTTTTAACATAACATTTCTTGCGATATAAAGGTTTGTTTTCGGCATATTTAAAATTTTTATTTTGTTTGTAAAAGTTAATTGTTTGCTTCTTTTGCTTTTTCAAAATTGTAATTAAATATAAGAACAGATAGGCTACTAAAATAATAAAATTAGAACATATTCCATACTAAAATGGCTAGTAGCTAAAAGATTAAAACATAATTATAGAATTTAAAACATGACTGAAATGACAGGAACATGTTTTAAAATTAGAAGTAAATAAGGAAAAAAAGGAAAAAAAGGAAATGTTTAAAATGAATAAATAAGATTATATCTTCATGCAATTTTGTTGGATAAAAGAGTGGTAAAACAAATGTACAAGTATCTTGAACAAAAGATTACACAAGTTTGTGACTGGTATAGATAAATGAGTTTATGGCTCCTGACATGAGTTTGTGAGTGATAAAAGTGAATGAGTTTATGGCTCCTGACATTTTGCAGCTAAAGTTGGTGACCGTAATGACGCTGGTTTGAAAATAAATTACAGTTACTCTAAGAATTCAACAAAATAAATTGTAAAAAGCTGAAGACAATTGATAAACTGGTGTCTTAACTTGTGCTAAGCCATTTTTCCACCAGAAATATAGTAGTCAGGCCAGGTATGTACAGAACATATTTACAAGTTCAACAATCAAGCTATTTCCTGCACATTGAGGCAACTATCAACAAGCAACAGCTAGCACAGGTAAACATGTGGCATCTGCAGATTTCATTGAGTCATTTAGTAGGGCAAGATTTATTTACTAACACTTGCTCACTTTCAAATAAATCACCCTGTACTAGAATAATTTCTTTAAAATTTGAAAAAAATCACAAAAATGCAATTTTCAACAAAGCTTTGGCTACACATCTTTCAGCTAACACAGCACACACAAACAGCGCGCACACACACATACACACCCACAGAGAGTAGGCTCAGCACTAGGATTGTATCCAAGGTTGTTAAGCCAAATGCTACCCCAGAGAAGGTGTGGCATTAATGTTGTTAAGCCAAATGCTACCCCAGAGAAAGTGTGGCTACCCCAGAGAAGGTGTGGCTACCCCAGAGAAGGTGTGGCTACCCCAGAGAAAGTGTGGCTACCCAGACGAAGCAGAAAAACAGCTGAGACCATGTGAAAGAACTGATGAATGCTCCGATTCAAATGCATTGAGGCACATTTACAAATCTAGGTCGATACCCCGCAGCAGCGAGGCCTCCAGTGGAATGTCAAACTCTGTGAGTGAGTCCAGGATGTGCATGACAAAGTTGATGTTGATTGGGTTGCGCAGGAATGAGTTCTCCTCGTACATCTGGGCTGTCACTGTTGTGTTGGCCATCAGTGGGAGCCAGCGGTGGAGGCAGCGCTTCCTACAGAATACATTGGCAGGTCATTAACTAGCTCTAGGTCATCTGAAGGGGTAGCTATTATACTATACATGATCAATGCAGATTGTATTACCTGATCCACTCTACTTCACCTGCCTTGTCTGAAAAGGGGGGGGGGGGCTACTTAACTATACATGATGAATGCAGATTGTATTACCTGATCCGCTCTACTTCACCTGGCTTGTCTGAAAGGTGGGGGGGCCAACTCAACTATACATGATGAACGCGGATTGTATTACCTGATCCACTCTACTTCACCTGCCTGGTCTTAAAAAAGGGGGGGTGTAATCAACTATACATGATGAAAGCAGATTGTAATACCTGATCCACTCTACTTCACCTGTCTGGTCTGAAAAGGGGGGGGGGGGGGGGATACTCAACTATACATGATGAATGCGGATTGTATCACCTGATCCACTCTACTTCACCTGCCTGGTCTTAAAAAAGGGGGGGGGTGTAATCAACTATACATGATGAATGCACATTGTATTACCTGATCCACTCTACTTCACCTGCCTGGTCTAAAAAGGAGTGTACTTAACTATACACAATGAATACAGATTGTATTACCTGATCCACTCTACTTCACCTGCCTGGTCTAAAAAGGGGTGTACTTAGCTGTACACAATGAATACAGATTGTATTACCTGATCCACTCTACTTCACCTGCCCTGTCTAAAAAGGGGTGTACTTAACTATACATGATGAATGCAGATTATATTACCTGATCCACTCTACTTCACCTGTATGGTCTGAAAAGGGGTGTACTTAGCTATACACAATGAATACAGATGGTATTACCTGATTCCCACACAGATAAAAACTTGAAACTTGCCATCCTTGCCCACTGTGTCGGAGGCCGTGTTGATCTTCCCCACCAGGTCACAGAACAACCAGTAGCCTGCCTTACAGATCTCTGTCAGCTGGAGAGAGGAGCTGCCAGACAGGGCGTTCTCAAAGAAAACTTTCAGGCGCTCTGTGGAAAAACAAGGGGTTCATTGAACTTTTACACAACAAAAATATCTTTCTACAGAAAGACAGACAAGAGACCAGAGGTAGACAACACAAATATTGATAGAGAATTGTAATAACCACATACAGGAATCACCTAAATGCTTGATATGTTGAGTTGTAACTTGTACAATAAATTATGTTGTAGATAACTTATGTAATCAATTATGTGAATGTGGCCTACTTTCATTTTCTATTTACAAAAAAATTACTAAAAAATAAGTTCATTTTTCATTTTCCCAAGGTAAGTGTCGTTTTTCACGCACAAAATTAGCCTTAAATTTTACTTGAAAAATACTAAGAATATTCTATTGTATAGAGCATTTATTTATGTTTACATTGTCACGTTTGAACTTGAAATAAATGGTAAAAAAAGACAGTCTATGATATGGTGTGGGTACTAAAAAAAGATCATGGAAAAAAATAATTCTGGTAAACTTTGAGATTAATTTAGCACCGAAATGTATTCATTATTTTTATTTTCCTATTTAAAAAAGCAGACAGCAAGTAAAGATGAAGTAACAAAGTATTTACCCATGTAGTCCCAAATAAAAATTTTGTTCCTAAAGAGTCGCGACGACCTGAAGCCAAATTGAAAGACTTGCTCCATACAGTTGACCAGGCCCTTGTCTCCACACAGGAGAAAAGTGATATTTCCTCGCTGGGGGAGAAACATTGCCGGGTGCTTACTTCCAGTCAAGTAATTTAAGTAGACTTTTACATGATTTATCTTTATCAGTTTATGGCAATAAATGAGTGCATATATGACACACAACACATTGGCATGTTTACCTCTTTCTCAGGCTTGTAGAAATGTTTGACCAAATTGTTGACAGCCTGGCCGAGGTTTTCTTGAATTTCTGCTAGACCTGCATCTGGGGGGTCAGAACATGACATGTATCAATGTATCTAACAGGTCATAGTTCAAGGTAACTAGCAGGTCACAGCACAAGGTCACAGATGGGTCACAGCACAAAGTCATTTACAGGTAACAGTTCTAAACTACCTAGCCAATTAGCTAGAGTTAACTCACTTGCATCTTGAGCTTTCCTTGGAGACTTGGGTGAACATGTCCTGGGTGGGGAGGTAACAACAACTTCATCTACAGAGCAGGGAGAAACAAAGGTATAACATCTGTGTCTAAACTAATGCAGATAGAATCTACATTTTGTTCATGTAATCAAGTAGAACTTGACAGCTGGACCAGACTAACAATAATACAGTCTGGATAGTGTCAATAGAGTTCAGTTTATAATTCACATTATGCTAAACCATCCATGGCCTAAAACAATCTATGCAAATGTTACTTAAAAGTCCCATAGCCAGCCATACAGACTAAAATTGTTTCTTGTCATATAACCAGCTGTACAAACATACCTTCTGTATCAATGGTGTGGTGCATCAGCTCAGCTACGAGTAGTCTCTCAGTGCTACCATCATCAACACCACGACCCAACCATCTGCCACAGTTAAACCTGACAAATAAAACAGTTTCATAAGCTACCATCATCAACACCACGACCCAACCATCTGCCACAGTTAAACCTGACAAATAAAACAGTTTCATAAGCTACCATCATCAACACCACGACCCAACCATCTGCCACAGTTAAACCTGACAAATAAAACAGTAGAGTTTACTAAGCTACCATCATCAACACCACGACCTAACCATCTGCCACAGTTAAACCTGACAAATAAAACAGCATAGTCTCAAGTTAATCTCTCTGGCAGATAAGGCTCGATCCCTTCCAACACTAAAAATTAAGAACAAAGAAGAAGAATCAACAATTTCCTAAGCTACCATCATCAACACCGTGACCCAATCATCCACCACCACTTAAGTCCATAATAACATGATCAACATAAATCAAAACTACCAAATTAAACAAGTTTTACCAGCAATGGCTATTCTCATGAAAAGAATGTAAACCACCTCACAGTAAACTCTACCTGTATGTATGTCCAGTGAGCTCATTCCTGACCAGCACGTATTCCACCAGCCACCTGGGCATCATACCACTGTTGTCATGGCCTATCCTCAGTGTCGTCAACACACCTAAATTTTTATGCTAACAAAACAAAGACAAAAACTATTATGATCATCTAATTTAGGCCCTACAAAAATATACTATAAAACTACATATTAACACTAAACAATTTTAAATAGATTATTTTATAAATACTATATTTTCAAATTTCTATTTTTTTTCTAGTTGAGTATGACCTTTTAAAATAATATTTAAGAGATTTCTAGCACAATTTTTTTTACTAATCTCAAAATTCATCTCAATTTTAAATAGATTATTTTATAAATACTATAAATTTTCAAATTTCTATTTTTTTTCTAGTTGAGTATGACATTTAAAAAAATATTTAAGAGATTTCTAGCACAAATTTTTTTTGACGCACCTCAAAGTTCATCTCCAGCAAGCTCTTAGCGACGTCAATGGTTCCAGTCTCCCCAAGCTGGCCAGCAACTGAGAGCCAGACATTGGCACTTGTGGTAGAACAGCCCAGCTTGGTGCTCGGGTAGATCAAAACACGATAGGGTACCACTGTCAACAACAAAAATTTACAGCTGATTTCTTGTATACATGAATAATGAAATAACATTATACAGCTCTACTGAAAACAGCAAAATTATTTTAAAATTTGCAGGAATACACTAACGTCAAATGTGTATAAGAGTTTAAAACCATTTTTCACCATATGGTACACTCACCGGTATTGGGGAATGTATTTGTAAAACAGAAAAAGTCCACAGCATTCAGTGATAACAAATGATACAAAAACTGTTCTCTTTCATCTTCACATCTCAGGAAGGCATAGCGTTTGTACAAATTTCTGAAAACAACAAACAATGCAGTCTAGCACAAGTAAAAATAGGCAACTAAGTCTGATTAACAGATTGTTATTTGAGGTTACAGGTGAAAGGTATAATAAAAATAAAATATATGAAGGGACTAGAAGTTATTTAAATACTTATTTTAAAACCTTTAGTTTGAACTATCTTTTTGAAAATTTTAAAAACCTGAGAAGATCTGTATCAGCTAATAACTGTTTCAGGTGGCCAGATAACATTTTCCTTTCTAAAGCCAAGCGAATTAATGCCCTGGTTTTGCCAACATCAGTGTGGATGTCTGACATTTGTTGTATTTTCCTGATTAAAAAAGTAAAAAAATTACTTAACATAATTAAATTGATCAATTTAAAAAATATTAATTATTTGCTTTTTTTTAAATTAATTTCTTAAATTATTTAAATTAGTGGTTAAATTTATGAAAAAAAAGAATAAAACATTTTAAGAAAGAAAAAATGAGAAAATTTGTTTCTAAACAAGTAATTTTTAAAGGACAAAGAAAATAAATATTTAATAAAAGAATTACAATAAAACTTTATCAAAATTCGACATGAGAAAATTATTTGCACTTATATAAAAATTTACTCTTCAATGATTTTAAAGTGAAATCATGAAAATGAGGAATTTCAACTAATTAGATGGCAGGATATTTGACTCACTTCATATCAATGAGCAAAGATTTCGGCATAGGACGAAGCACAGGTAACTCTATTCTGCCTTGACTCCCTCGTCTTCTGTGAGTCTTCTCAGGTGGACGGTCTTGTAATTTGTCAGGGTCCACTCCAATGTTGGACAAATCTGGATTCAAACATGCAACATTCAAACCTCTTTTTAGCAATCACTTGTGATGATTTTTCAAATTGTAAAATAGACTTATTTATTTATTTCATTCATACTTATTTACCTTGTGCTTATAATTAATTTTTGTTCAAGCAATAACTTTTTAAGTAATTTAAGTAACAAAGTTATAATATAAATTTATAATATTAAAGGACTCAATCTCAAATATTTTGAAAATGTACTTTTTTTCTAAGCTTTTTTTTAAATGACTATAGTTACCATAAACATTATGTGTATTTAATTTAACCTTAAATATTGTAATTACAAATGAGAGCAAATTAAAAGAGCTAATTATGGACCTCACCCAATATAATGATAATTATATGAAATAAAGCTCCATAAAACTGTTTCAGCATTATTTAAACGTAATCTAAAATGATAACGCTGTACATGTTTATGATCAGGCAATACACATTTTTTTGTTATATAATCTCAAGATGAGATGTCAGAAGTATAGAGAGAAGAATCCATTTCCCAACATGGTGTAGAGAGAAAGACTGGCAGGTGTTATAAGTCTTAGACTGTTGCTTAGCAATAGGTTTGGATTCAAGTTCTCCCCACAACAGCCATTAAAGATGTATGTTTAGGTTTTCCTGATGCCAGAAGATGTATGGAGGTCTAGCCACTTCATGTCAACATTTTTTATTTCATTTGGCTGAAAATTCTCACAACCAGTATACTTTTAAAAAAATTTCAGCACAATAAAAAGTTGTGACGTGGAGTGGCATTTTAAAATAAGGTCACACATATGTAGTGACAGCTGAAAGTTAATTAACCTAATTTATTAAGCAGATAAATATGTTAAAAAATTTTATTTAAGAAATTAATAAATTGTTTTAAAAACTCAACCAAAGGAAACATTGTGAGAAACTAAAGTCAGTTAGCAAAAAAAAAAAATTAGGTTGGCAGGCTGCAACAAATAGCCTGCTAAAATCAAAATTCATACTTAACAAATTTTCATAACGTTTGAACTCTTATATTACAAGATTTTTAAATTTAAAAACTCAATTTAATTTTTTAAACCAATAAATAAAATGTATATACTTAGAGATCCCCAAGAAAGCTCTATGAATTTAGTCACAAGAAAATATAATAAACACTTGGGTAATGATATAAAGATACTTGAAATAGCATATGATTAACTACCTAATGAAAATATAAAAATACTTAAAGAAAAATATATTGAAAAAAGCTAATGTGTTTATCCAAAATGGGTAGGCCTATGCACAGAAGTAGGCAACACACACTGGTCCATAACAATTTCAATTTATTCAATAATGGTAACAACAGTAGGCACAGAGGCCTTTTTCCAACTGGTTATTTTAAAAAATGTAACAAGTAAAATATAGTGAAATACTTTAAATAAACAATCTAATTGTTTCACTTCTTATTTAAAAACTTGAACTGGAGATAACAGAGTAATATTTAAACAAGCAACTTGATTGGTTCTTATTTCAACCACTCAGAACATTAGAAATGTAGATGTTCAAAGTAATGCTGGTGACTTGTAACTTCAAATATACCTCAAAAACTTATCTCAGAATTCAAAACTATAATGTTAAGACAGACATCGGTTACAACAAAGAGTTAAAGTTTGGAACAACAATTAAGTACAACAATCGTGACAGGAAAAAAACACCTTGAAGAATGTATGTTGTTTGACTGGGCATGCCTAGCTACCAATGGACCAATCAAATTGATATCTAAGCACAACAAAAATGCATGTTAACCACACAATCTCTTAGCTACTGAAAATTTGACGAGAAATTCAATAAATCTTTATTCAAAACCAATGAGTAGTCTTTAGTTATAAATCAAACAGTTGCCTATGTTTTGAATATCTGTTGTCAGATCATTCTATATTTCCAGCAATAAATAACTTTTAATTATACAGTGTAGTTGCCTATATAGAGTTATTTTTTTCCTTTCACAACTATTTCTGTTGAGTGTTTCAGTCTATTCTAAATAATAATACATTCATATAGTATTTATATCAATCTTAGCAAGTAATATAATCCACTCATCTATACTATAATGTTTTTAAAAAGGCAAGTGAAATGAAAGTATAATGAATATTGTATTTGAGGGTTGAGTAATCAATTAGCTTAAGCAGCAAAATGTGCTTCAGTTGTCCCCAAAACCTTAATGAGAGAATAAAACAGTTTTCATCTTTTCAAAAGGAGAAAATTTTCAAATAATTTTTTTTAGTTGCAGAATTACCTCACACAATTTGTTAATATAAAGTTGAATTAGATAAACATGCAAAACACAAAATGAGTCACCAGCAAAACAACTGATTCACCTCTTAAATGTCATTTCTACACATTTTTCATACTAAATTTTGTACACAAGATACTGTAAAAAGCAACAAGGTTTGTATTTTTGTATATTCAGTTAAAGCAAGAATATTTAAGAGGACAACTGTAGACTGTCATATTTAATGTTGTTACTTTAGAAGAAGAAACCAGGTAAATGTGAGATGGCCTATAGACGCTAGAGCAAGATGGCCACACCTGGCTTAACCAATAAAATTTAGCCAGCAGTCAATCAAAATTCACAAAAATAACAAACTCAATCAACTAATACAAACATATTTAAAAGAAACACCTTATAAAGGTTTAATTAGAGAATAAAAGTATCTAATCTTAAATTATCCTACCACTCCTGAATGACAATGTGGTTTAGAAAAATATTCATATTTTTTACCCAAAAAAGGATGTCCCAGCATTTTTTTTTGTCTACATTTAAAAAAAAAAAATTAACAATACTCATCACCCATCTTACAATTACTTGTCTTTAATAATATATAAATACACCTTTGGTTAGAAGCTCAAATGTGTTGTTATCCTCATGCATTCTAATTGACCACTATGTCTACATATGGGAGGTAAGTGAAGATGAACAAAACACAATACACAGTCTACAAGTTGAGTCAACAAAAGAGTGCTGTCTCATGCAGCTAGTCTAGCAAGTGGCCAAAGAAAGAAATAACAAATAAATAACAACAACATGAACTGGCCTGCAAGGATGGCTGCGAGCTACTTACTGCTTAGGGAAATAGACCGACCCAGAATAGTAAATGATCCATCAACCAAAGATTTGATATCTATCAAGCTATGGCGCTTGGGCAAACCTTTAAACAGCAGTGGGGATACAGAGAGTTAGCGTGGGTCAAGGGTCAATCTTTACACATAAGTTTGATATCTATCAAGCTATGATGCTTGGGCACACCTTAAAACAGCAGGGTTGATTAAGAAAGTTAACATGGGTCAACCTTTATATATTGATTTCCTTTACAAGGGTAGACAATACTAAATAAAATGGTAGATGCTATTGTTTACTATATATAAGAAAGTAAATAGGCTTATAGCTATTCTAAATAGAATTAATATTAATTTAAAACAAGACAAACGGTTTTACACAAATACAGATCATTGTGGTTGTCCATTTTGGAATTAATGTTAACTCAGTATTTTTAGTTTAATAAAATGTCCCAATAGTTTAGCACTTTAAAGACAAATTTTTAATAACACTGATTTCAATAAACTAATATACACTGCAATGTAATAAAAGAAGGAATGTGATTGGCTGACACTGATAAAAGGGCAGATAACTTGATAAACAAGTTGTGCTTTAACCTCAAGCATTCATTCAACTTAAAATGTGCATTACTAGAAAAAAAAATTAGTTCACAAATATGGTGGGAATAGTCACAGCTGTATAATTAAGTAACAGACAAGCCCCAAGTTTAAATCAGACACACGGAAATATCACTAGAAATCAGACACACGGAAATATCACTAGAAATCAGATACACAGAAATATCACACAAAAATTAATGGAAATTTTCCAACATTAAAACAAGTTAAACTTTATAAAAATTATTAAACTATATTTAATTTTGATGCTTTAAGTTGTGTCATGAGTAAATGAGAATAGTCGTTCTTTGAATATTGGCAGCATTTTAAAATATATTTGCTATCAGTTAATAGATAAAGTTTAATAGGAAACAAGAAGAAGATAATATAAACTATATGTTTCAACTGTGAAGATGGAACAAAACCCTATTTATCTACAGCTCCTGCCACACTGGAACATGACAGAACCACATTTGTCTACAGCCCCCGCCTCTACTGTTTGTCTACACCCACAGCCCACAAGCAACAAACAAACAAACATACCAGGAGTCAAGAGCTTGGGGTCTACTGGTTTATTGTTCTCATTTCCTTCTTCGATTTCTTGGTAGCTTAACAAATGAGACCACACAGCAGATTTGCCCTGGGAAATAAAATTATTTTACATTTTCAGAGACACAATCAAATACCAAATAATCTTCATTTTCTTTTTAAATGTGTAAAATGTAACTTTGTTTACCTTCTTAAGTAAACTGTAACATTATTTAATTGTAAACTTTGTTACCAACTTAATCTGTAAATTGTGGCTTTGTTTACCAACTTAATCTGTAAATTGCAGCTTTGTTTACCTTCTTAATCTGCAAGCCGTGGCTCCAGATCCTCTCTAGAAGATCACACAAGCTGGCTATCAGAGTGTTTTCCTCAACTCCTGTGATACTGGCTTCACTGTGTCCCAGCTCCACAGCTTCTTGACCCATCTTCTCCACCAGCATCTTCTTTGTCTACACACAAGGATTGGTTACATTATCCACTTAATATTTTGTCTACACACAAGGATTGGTTACATTATCCACCTAATATTTTGTCTACACACAAGGATTGGTTACATTATCCATCTAAAATTTTGTCTAGACCCAAGGATTGGTTACATTATCCACCTAATATTTTGTCTAGACATGGATTGGTTACATTATTCACCTAATATTTTGTCTACACACAAGGATTGGTTACATTATCCATCTAATATTTTGTCTACACACAAGGATTGGTTACATTATCCACCTAATATTTTGTCTACACACAAGGATTGGTTACATTATCCACCTAATATTTTGTCTACACACAAGGATTGCTTACATTATCCACCTAATATTTTGTCTAGACATGGATTGGTTACATTATTCACCTAATATTTTGTCTACACACAAGGATTGGTTACATTATCCATCTAACAATTTGTCTACACACAAGGATTGGTTACATTATCCACCTAATATTTAGTCTAGACACAAGGATTGGTTACATTATCCACCTAATATTTTGTCTAGACCCAAGGATTGGTTACATTATCCACCTAATATTTTGTCTACACACAAGGATTGGTTACATTATCCACCTAATATTTTGTCTACACACAAGGATTGGTTACATTATCCACCTAATATTTTGTCTACACACAAGGATTGGTTACATTATCCACCTAATATTTTGTCTAGACCCAAGGATTGGTTACATTATCCACCTAATATTTTGTCTACACACAAGGATTGGTTACATTATCCACCTAATATTTTGTCTACACACAAGGATTGGTTACATTATCCACCTAATATTTTGTCTACACACAAGGATTGGTTACATTATCCACCTAATATTTTGTCTAGACCCAAGGATTGGTTACATTATCCACCTAATATTTTGTCTAGACCCAAGGATTGGTTACATTATCCACCTAATATTTTGTCTAGACATGGATTGGTTACATTATTCACCTAATATTTTGTCTACACACAAGGATTGGTTACATTATCCATCTAATATTTTGTCTACACACAAGGATTGGTTACATTATCCACCTAATATTTTGTCTAGACACAAGGATTGGTTACATTATCCACCTATTTTGTCTAGACCCAAGGATTGGTTACATTATCCACCTAATATTTTGTCTAGACCCAAGGATTGGTTACATTATCCACCTAATATTTTGTCTAGACACAAGGATTGGTTACATTATCCACCTAATATTTTGTCTAGACCCAAGGATTGGTTACATTATCCACCTAATATTTTGTCTAGACACAAGGATTGGTTACATTATCCACCTAATATTTTGTCTACACACAAGGATTGGTTACATTATCCATCTAATATTTTGTCTAGACCCAAGGATTGGTTACATTATCCACCTAATATTTTGTCTAGACCCAAGGATTGGTTACATTATCCACCTAATATTTTGTCTACACACAAGGATTGGTTACATTATCCACCTAATATTTTGTCTACACACAAGGATTGGTTACATTATCCACCTAATATTTTGTCTAGACCCAAGGATTGGTTACATTATCCACCTAATATTTTGTCTAGACATAAGGATTGGTTACATTATCCACCTAATATTTTGTCTACACCCAAGGATTGGTTACATTATCCACCTAATATTTTGTCTACACACAAGGATTGGTTACATTATCCACCTAATATTTTGTCTAGACATGGATTGGTTACATTATTCACCTAATATTTTGTCTACACACAAGGATTGGTTACATTATCCATCTAATATTTTGTCTACACACAAGGATTGGTTACATTATCCACCTAATATTTTGTCTACATACAAGGATTGGTTACATTACCCACCTAATATTTTGTCTAGACACAAGGATTGGTTACATTACCCACCTAATATTTTGTCTAGACCCAAGGATTGGTTACATTATCCAACTAATATTTTGTCTACACACAAGGATTGGTTACATTATCCACCTAATATTTTGTCTACACACAAGGATTGGTTACATTATCCACCTAATATTTTGTCTACACACAAGGATTGGTTACATTATCCACCTAATATTTTGTCTAGACATGGATTGGTTACATTATTCACCTAATATTTTGTCTACACACAAGGATTGGTTACATTATCCATCTAATATTTTGTCTACACACAAGGATTGGTTACATTATCCACCTAATATTTTGTCTAGACATGGATTGGTTACATTATTCACCTAATATTTTGTCTACACACAAGGATTGGTTACATTATCCATCTAATATTTTGTCTACACACAAGGATTGGTTACATTATCCACCTAATATTTAGTCTAGACACAAGGATTGGTTACATTATCCACCTAATATTTTGTCTAGACCCAAGGATTGGTTACATTATCCACCTAATATTTTGTCTAGACATAAGGATTGGTTACATTATCCACCTAATATTTTGTCTAGACCCAAGGATTGGTTACATTATCCACCTAATATTTTGTCTACACACAAGGATTGGTTACATTATCCACCTATTTTGTCTACACACAAGGATTGGTTACATTATCTATCTAATATTTTGTCTACACACAAGGATTGGTTACATTATCCACCTAATATTTTGTCTACACACAAGGATTGGTTACATTATCCACCTAATATTTTGTCTAGACCCAAGGATTGGTTACATTATCCACCTAATATTTTGTCTAGACATAAGGATTGGTTACATTATCCACCTAATATTTTGTCTAGACACAAGGATTAATTTCATTAGTGTAAGTTGACTAATGTCACTAAAACTTACATTCCTTCAACAAAGTCTCCACAAACTTTTAGTTGGTCTGGGCCATGCTAGCTGACCAATGTCACTAAAACCTACCTTAGTTTTACATTCCTTCAACAAAGTCTCCACAAACTTTTAGTTGGTCTGGGCCATGCTAGCTGACCAATGTCACTAAAACCTACCTTAGTTTTACATTCCTTCAACAAAGTCTCCACAAACTTCCAGTTGGTCTGGGCCATGCCAGCCTGAGACATGTCTGGCAGCTGGGGTTTCCTTATCCTCATGTATTGCTGAAAGTGGAGGTGCCATCATATTAGTGGCTTTCATAGAGATCAACAGCAATAAACAATATTTATGTTGATTTATCATCATATTGATGGGTTATATGAGGAGAGATGTGTGACATTAAACAACAACTATTTAATCATCATATTGATGTTATATGAGTTTTTCATCATATTGATGGGTTATATGAGGAGAGATGTGTGACATTAAACAACAACTATTTAATCATCATGCGCGGCTCCATGACATACATTGGTCATTTTTTTTTATTGAACAAAAACTTTATTTGTAAGTAAATCACAATAAAACAAAATGTGAAGTGTTCTTCTGTGTTAAAAAAAATATAATGTTAAATACTATTGTAAAACGAAATTTCTGTTTAAATAATATTTTATTCTCGCATAAGTTATATTGTGGTATGAATTAATCATATTGTAAATGTCTAGTGACTAAAAACTTATGTTAGGCTACAGTTAACTATGTAGTCCAGGATCAGACATGACATTTAGGTGAGCTTGTCTTCTGTATGTTAGTATATTTGTACTAATTGTTCTATACAAATATAAAGAGTATGATTATGATTACGGTAGTACTCATGAAAATCAAATCTAGTTCTTACTAGGTGTCTCAATGCTTAAAATAAGAAAATAGACTTGTAAAACTTTAGTTTATCACAAGAAAAAGTTGTGGGGGTTAAGGGAATGTCAGAGTAGATCTTGGAAGAATTAGTAAAAATAAACTAAATATCTAAGGATTAAAAAGAAAGCTTAAATAAACTACTGTCGACAGTCTGATTTTAAAAAAATACAAATGCTCTATCTCCTCCTGAAGATTAACTTATCAGAATAGTAATTTTGCCAGGTTTGCTTAAACCAGTAAACAATTTATTTTTTTACAGTAATCATTTCAGACTTGGTAGTAAGTATTTTAGTCTAGCACAAAAGCATAGCTGTCAAGCAAAAATTCATAAACCACTGTTCCATATTTATCTAATACTGAACAAAATAATACACCTTATGCTAAAGTTTGTTTAAATTCATATTTGTTACAGAAATAAAAGGAAGCAAAGAATCAACTGAACAACTGTTATATCTTAGTTGTTTTGTTGTTCACAAGTTAGAATAACCTTTAAAAATCTCTCAATTAATAAGGTAAAACATTTCAACATTTTATATAGTTAGTAAGTCTAAATATAGAGCCTTCTGTTTCTTGACTATAGACTGATTTCCCAATTACAAATACTTACCTCAATTTATTCATATAAAATAAGCAAAGATGAAAGAGCAGTTATAATGCAAGCATGAGTAATGGATTAAATTAGCAGAGGATAAAAAAAAATGAAACCCTCATCAGATGTTACCTTCACCAAGGCAAAATATAAATGAAACTTCTATGGAAGCCTATGATTAGCCTACATGTGTTATGGAGATGCTATGAGCATCAGCTAGGTGTGTCAGTACTTACAACCCATAATGGGGCAGGTTTTTCTTCAACTGAAAACTTAAGGGATAAAAAATACATTTGTCACACATGTTGAGATAAAATTAATATGAGGTAATTCAACGTTTTTGTTACTTAAACCAAGAGAAAACTGGAACCTTTGGCAATTTAGCCTAAAGTTTTCCAACATTAAATGTAACTTGGCGTTGTTAATTATATATAATTTTTTTTTAAATAAAGAAATGGTAATGCCAAATGAATAAAGCTAATGGGGAATATTTAGCGTTTTAAAAAATCAGAAATAATTCTTGACGAGTAAGGCAGAATTGTTTGATGACAATCAGATATACCTACAAGTAAAAATCTATAGTGTTTTATTAAAATAAACTTCACTGACATTAGGATAATGTACATTTCAAGAGCCTTCAATTGGTAAATACTTCTTTAATGTTAACAGCCATTTCTTTTTATGCTCAGTCATAATCTGATCTGTTGCCTATTTTTTCTAGAAACCAAAACTTCAACAATTTCGTCTTTTATTTTAAAAGAAAGTGTGACAGAAAAACCAGAGTACCTGAGAAGAAATGAGTAAAATTTATTCAGTGCTGAATAAGTGTTTCTCATTATTCACTGCTGAACTAGTTTTCTTACCTCTTGCTGCTCAGCCTCTATGTTGGCCTGTAAATGCTCCTTGTGTTGAAGCTGTCTGTCTTTTCTTCTCCATTTTGCATTATCACGAAACTTTGACCTAACAAACACAACATGCATGATAAGCTGAAATCTTATGCTAATTTATTTTTTAAACTAACATGGCAAGTAATAAAAGTATTTTGTAGAATAATTTCACTTAAAATGAGTAGCAATAAAATGATGAAATGAAACTTACTTAGAATTAGCAGGCTCAGAATACAACAACTCTTTGCTCAACAATGGAAAGACACCACTAACATACTGACTAGGTGAAATATGACTGGCTATTTCATGAGGCTTGCTGGCTATAAAGTTTATGTTTCTTGCCTTCTTCTCAATATATTGCTCTGAAAAAAATATAAAGCAGGCATAGATATTTAGCATTTGTGACATAATGCTTTAAATATGAAATAGCTAGGAGTTGAAGATTATTGCTTATTGATGACATTTGTATCTCTACATTGTGGCTCTCTACATTTTTCTAACAGGTAGGTCTGTGATTTAATTAAGGTAAATGCGACAGTTGGAAAGAACTTACCAGTTTCCTCTAAAGTGCTACAGGGATTGTAGGTGATGATTCGTGGCTCACCCCCAGCGGCCTCCTTTAAATCCTTGATGCGAGCATCAAACAGGTGCAGACAAGGATCTGTATCCTCCCACTGGGAGATGATCTTGTTGTCCATCAGGGTGGTGAACATTTGTGTTTCTATGAAAGCTGACAGGAAGGGAAGATGAGCGGCGGGCTGGTCGCTAAGAAATGCTGCCTTGTCAAAATTGTGGATCGTCTCCCTGTTGCTGAGCCAGGACTCCAGGTCCTGGGAGGGGTTGATGACAAAGTTTTCATATGACGCAAACATGTGCACAAAACAGTTGAGAAATATCTCCCTGACAGCGTTGTTAAACTTCATGTTGTTTATTTCTGAAAGTGGCATGCTATTGGAGTCATAGGCTTCAGGGAGATCCCTTTCTCTTTCGGTGTCTCCTGGCGTGTCGTCCAGCACAATATCTTCAATGGAATCCCAGACTCCAGTTTTTTTGGCAAGACTAGCAATTTTGTTCCATGCTTCACTGTTCTGTAGAACTTCTTTCCGTTTGGGAGAGTTTGGCCAGCTCCCTGTGTTAGTGTTTAGAGAATCTTCAGGCCTTAGCGAAGATTTTGTCCCAGGTTCCCTGCGAGGTGTTGTGGGATAGCTCCTGGACATTTTCTCAGCACCAATGAGGTTTTGGTATTTGTTGATAACCTGAGTCAGCTCAATCTTTAGGTCATTTTGGTATGGAAACATGGGGAGGTCCTCTGGGTACTCTGCAGACTTACTATCAATATCCACAAAACACATGTTGGCCTGGAGAAAATTAGAATTAGCAAAAAATATAATTTTATTACATTCTATGTATTATTTACTTAAAGATGAACTGACTACCGACTAAGAAATTAGGAAGTTTTTTTGCATGAAAACAGAATGTTTTTGACAATAAATCAGGTTTTTCAAGGAGGAAATTAGACGTTCCCAGGAAACACGACTGTAAATAAAAATTAAAAAGTAAGTTTTAAAATATTTTTGATGAAAAATTTTGCTCAAAGGGAAAAAGAATTTCTTTAAAAAAAGTAAACGTTAAATCTCTTCCAAACTTTTTACCAGTTATCTTCTTTCTTCTTCTTCGTTCTTAATTATTAGTGTTGAAGGTGATCGAGAATTATCTGCCAGTGCGTTTGAACTCGAGACTTTGTTCAAATTTATCAACCATGAGCTTTTTGCCGACTCTACCACGCCTCCAACACAATTAAGCGTTACGTGTCAACTGGTTATGCGCCATTGAGGCCATTGACTCCGATTTCAGCCTGCTTTTCTTTTTGGATTTGCTTCCATAGCCTTTGTCCAACCAAGAACAAACTACAAGGCAGCAGTTGTTTAATTTTGGAGTTGTCTCTCCTAGAAGAGTGGCTGTCCCTAGCTAACGAGCCTCATCTGCACGGGGGTTTGAACTCGAGACTTTTCGGTTTAGCAACCATGAGCTTTACCGCCTTGACCACGCCGACCCCCATACCAGTTATCACCACTGCTATTTATAAAGAAAAAAAACTAAATTACTTCAGATGGAAGAACCAGCTGAGACTTGTCTGTGTTGGATACTTTGTACAGACCCATGATAAAAGGGACTGGAGCGTCAAGGAAATGCTGCATGGAAGCTGGTAGTATAGGCACATAGACTAGTTGCCACTGGAAGGGAAACACCAGTGTACACATTCCCTCGGCCACTAGCATTAGTCGTTGATAATCTAAAATAATATGAGAAACATTTCATAATCATATGCATCAGCTCAAGACTGATAAAATTAATACAACTTGATAATTAACATAATTCCACTAAAGATAGATTTTTTTTTTCAATATTGACATCTTTTTGAAGAAATAAACTAAATCTTTTAAAATGCATTTTTCCTTGATACTACTCATCTACAATACCTACCAGATGAATACAATAAAATCTGATGCTCAAGTAGAACACATTTAAAGACCTCAACCACAGTATCTATTCCAAGTAATTTAAACAGCTCATACAGAGAGAAATCAAACAAAGGCAATTCTTGAGTGCCTAGAAAATGAAAAACAAAAAAATATATTTACATTTTGCATTTATCACCAAATAAATATAACAAAAATCTTAGTAAGTGAATGTTGTACTCACTAGGTCTAATCACACATACAGGACCAGAACAGCCAAAAAACTTCATGCTTCTGCCACACGGTGGAAGAGGGATATCGTATATCACATTAAATACATAAGACTCTAGTGTCATTGCCAGCTGGTTAGGTTTCTGCGAGGCTTCATATAACTGTTGTAAAAACTGCTGGCATGATCTGATAAATAAAAATATTTTTAATCACAAGAACAGATCATAATACTTTTTTATAAAAATAAACTAAAATACATAATTTAAAAAGTGTTTTTTAGTGTTTGATACATGGGATGAAATGTTCAAAATATAATTTCTTTTAGGAAAAATTTATTTTAAAATATTAATTCTTGTTTAGTACTCAGTACTGTTCATATTGTTTTATAAGAGGCTATAGTTGACATTTCAAAATTGATTTTTTTAAATTTACATAATGAAATAAAATAAGTGAAACATCTCACCTCACAAATGGCAAAGGTGTGACTAGACATATACACTTTGTAACATAAAGTTTATCACGGTTGGCATCGAAGAGACATTTGTCCTTGCGTTCTGGCAGGATCATCTTTCTAACAGGTTCTGGGCTATTTATTGAGAACTTAACCACAGTATTTGCTTGGTGCATAACATGTAGTGTCTGCATAGCATCCAACACCGACTTGCTTGTGACTTCTTCATAAAAGACAAGGGCCGAGCCATACGTTTTTGAGCCATCTTCTCGGGTGATGATAAAAGAGTGAAACTTTGGAAGCCTTGATTCTTTCTGTGTCTTGAAAGATAGACCTCTAGGCAGACAGAGCTGTAATTTAAAGAAAAATACATAGAGGTTTAAGGTAATCAAAACCAAAAGATGGCTGGGATTATAACACAATGAAATTTTTGTAAAACAAAAAAAGTACCATTCCAACTGCATTTTCATCAAAAGGATTCCAAGGTACTGATTCAGGAAAATGAGCAAGAACTTTTGACTTGTAAGGACGTTCTAATGGTGGACTTTGCTGGTTGTCCCCTGCAAAAGTAGGTAGGATAATTTTATGCTAACTTATGGTTACTGTTATAGTGTTAACAAAAAAAAAAAAAAAGTATTCAATATGGCAAGGTCCAAGTTAGCATTATCTGTTAATTCCTAAAATGTATGATATAACTGTAATATAGTAATTAATTCAACTTTAAGTGGTCTTGATGTCTCACAGCTAACTCAAAAATACTTCAACATTTTTGCTAATTTGATTCAGATAGAAAAACCCTAAACAAAAACTTAAAAATTACAAGATTATAATTTTCAGACACAGTTTTACAATACAAATTGTAAGCATTTAGCTTACTTTGTATGTTATATTTAATGTGTCAATATTATTTTGAGTGTAGATAAGATATGGTGTAGAATAGATCTAGATCTAGAACAGTGGATCTTAACCTGGGTAAAGACCACAGGCGTTCGGTGAGTCAGTGTCAGGGGTTTGACGGAGGTCAAGACACACACCTGACATTTTTGGCAGTGCAGACAGTAGAACTATTACTATTAAGAAGGGTTTGGTGAAAGCGCATATGAAACTGGTGGGGTTTGTTACCTCCAAAAAGATTAAGGACCACTGATCTAAAATTCTAAATTTAGAATGGTTGGCTAAGATTGGAAATAGAGATGTATGGATTGGATAGATCTAGAAATCTAGCTAGATTCAAGAAGGCCCTTGGAGGCCTTGGTCATACAAAAAAAAAAAAAAAAATAGAAACAAACTAGATCTAGTAGTAGATGTAAAATGTAAATAGATTCTAAATCACTAGATCTAGATCTTTTACTAGATCTATAATCTATAACTTTCCAATCGCTTGATTTGACTGACTCACTGGAAAATCAAACTCGATAGGTCGTCACTCAACTCAATCGTGAAACAAAGTCAAGTGAAATTATTTACTAACCTGACAATTTATCTGGTTCTAATTCACTAGAGTCATCAAGCCCACAAATTATGAAGTAATCAACGAATCTGTTTGACTTTTCCTGAGCAGCCATAGTATTCATTCATTAACTGTCAAGACTCAAGTCATTGTGTGAAAAAGCCTTTCTTCTTATTTCTTTATTGTCATTTGTTGACTGTATAGCAGTCCACCATTAGTAACATACCAGATTTTAAATTGGCATAGCTATTTTTGAGTATTTTGGTAAGTCATCGTGTTAAAATGTGAGGTAGATTCAGTTTCTAAAATAACTTTGGCAAAATAATAAAAAATAGATTATAAAATTCCATTAATTTAATGTCCTCTATTATTAAATTCCAAAATATTTTAATTTACTTAACAGAATCCGTATTCGTGTGTTTCGACAGTGCTTGTGCTCAAATTGGCATATCAAGTAAAAAAAAATGACGTAGGCCTATGCCTAGCTAAGCTTTCTATTTTTTTTCTGGACGACGAAAGGCCAAATATGTGGTTGTGTAACATTAATGATAGCATTTCGGCCGTAGTTTCTTCCAGTCATCTCTTTGAACGAAATGGAATTTATATAGAAAATATATACTTTTAACAGAGTCCGCCCCCCCCCGAAGAAAGTCTATCGCCCCCCCCCCCCGAAAATTTCAAGTGCCCCCCCCCCTGAGAAAAAAGCCTGGAAGAAACACTGCGGCGCTCGCGACGGAATTCTATTTATTCTCACCATTAATAAATTTCGCAATAAAATTTTGATGAAACACGCAGAAAAAAAGTCAACTCTAATATTTTTCGTTTTTCAAAGACTGTTTTAAAGGGGGAGTGGGCCTTCCATAAATGACGTCATACTCTTTTATTTTTAAAACATAGTTTTCTCTCTCAAATGTGTACTGAGCTCATTCTACATTCTTCTTCTTCTTCGTTCTTAATTTTTAGTGTTGGAATCGAGCCTTATCTGCCAGAGGGTTTGAACTCGAGACATTTTGAATATATCAACCAATAGCTTTTTGCCGACTCGACCACGCCTCCATCACAATTAAGGATACGTGTCAAGGATACGTATTTATTTTTGGATTTGTTTCCATAGCCTTTGTCCAACCAAGAACATACTACAAGGCAGCAGTTGTTTGATTTTGGAGTTGACTTTGGAGTGTTTTAAAGCAAATATTTTCAGTGGCAGCATTGGTACTGTCGAATTCACAAATTATGAATTACTGAAAAGTAGAAAAAACAACAACTAAATAGCGGCGTATGATACGCAGTGGGTCGGCTTGTTGTAGCCTATATTTTGAAACAGTGTGAGCAAAATAGCCATACTTGTTTATAACAACTTACCTAATAACAGCTATTTATTTGAACGGTGTAACGTGACTGAGTCATGTGAATGTGCAAAATCTTTACAGTTGCGAAACCCTCGAACTAGACTAGATTTTGATCTCTAGAATCTGGTTTGTGATTTACAAAGCGTTTTAATTCTTTGCTACTTTATGGTATTTAGTAGGAACTGTTGACGCCCTCTTACACTTCCTTTGGTTGTTTTAATTTTGTGACGTTAAAAAATCCCAGCATTTAGGCCTAAGTAACTTATCTTGTAGAGAATAAGTAACATTTATCAGGCCGATCATTATTTTTTACAATTTAGCACAGTTTTTACTATTTAACTACATTCTACAAGTTATAAGAAGATTCTATGTAAGTGTACTAGTAGTGTAGTGTAGTGTGTAGTGTTTGGGTAAATCTATCGTTTTAAATTTAGGTACGTAAAATCGCCCGGGACTTTAATGTGAAAAACAGGTGACTACTTAAATTTTAATAATTATTTCACATTTTGGGGAGGATTTATGTTTTTTAAAATACAAACATGTTTCCTTGTTTCATTTATGTACCTGTTTTTAAACAATTGAATTAAAACTTTTCCGTAATAAATGAAGACCAGCGATGTTTCCAACAGATGCAACCATGCTCATTTACTATAGCAGCCATCATGTTAAAGTTTTATTTTTATAGACTTATAGTGGGAGATTCAGGGGGAAGTCACTCTATTTACAAATGGCTGCTGTTTATATAGCAAATCTTGCTTGCAGACACTGCTGTTTAAAGTTAATTTCTGGCCTATATTTATATATTTAGCTACTGATTTAGGTTTATTATTCATTTATCTATAATATTTGACATAAACATATCACAATACACTTCTATTAAAGCCTTGACAATGAGGTAACGTTTTCGTACATTAATAGCCGCGGGCGATTTTACGTACCCAAAACGATAGATTACCAGTGTTTGTTATTAGTGTGTTAAAGTTACTCTAAGTCTAAACTCTAAACTACTCTAACTTCCTAACTTAACTTACTTAACTTACTTATTACTTAAGTACTAGATCTAAGTAGTAAGTAGTAGTTTACTAAGTAGTAAGTGGTCAGTAGTAAGTAGGTAGGCCTATGTAATATGTATGTATGTACTAGACTCTATGTAGTATGTAGTGTAGATTTCTATAGTATAGGAGTATAGGCCTATTAAAATAATTTAAAATATTTCTCTGTTTAGATCTATAGGTGGTAATCTATCGTTTTGGGTACGTAAAATCGCCCGCGACTTGTAATGTGAAAAACAGGTGACTCCTTAAATTTTAATAATTATTTCACATTTTGAGGAGGATTTATGTTTTTTAAAATACTATCTTGTTTCCTTGTTTCGTTTATGTACCTGTTTTTAAATAATTGAATTAAAACTTTTCGGTAATAAATGAAGACTAGCGATGTTTCCAACAGATGTGACCATTTTTAGTTACTGACTTTATACTTTATAGTTAGTGAAGTGAAGATCTATGCCAACTCAGTAATGGATGTTAACTAACTGCTAAACTAAATTTTAGTTATTATAATAGATAGTAGATAGCCTATGCCTAATCAAAATTTAGGCCTCGGCCTAATATTGAATATTTAGGCCCTTATTATTATTAATAATAATAAATTAATAGGCCTAATAATAGTATTATTATTTACCCTGTTTTGGACCACGAAAGACCGCTGTTTTAGGCTATTATAGATAGTAGGCCTAATAGTTATTTGTAGCCTATCTATACTCTCACACACTACTGTAACTGTTAACTTTGTAAAATAAATTCCTACTAGTAAGCTTAGTTTTGCCGGGGCTTTTAGACACTATATTCTACTTTCAAGAAGAAAAAAATTTAAATGCTGGACTTCTTCCATTCTAGCCAAATTAGTATAGAAAAAAAACAATTATAAAGTACTGATATGCAGTAAATTTACATACATTGTATCTAATCCTTTTTGCAGATTCATGCTTATTTAAAGCGTTGTTGTTTTGAAAATGGATTCTGATGGATTGCCACTTGTTGGTCCTGGAATAGATTATACAAAAGTAACCAATTAGCCTATAGCAGGCAAATTTTTTATTTACTCATCTTTATTAATCAGATTCTGCTAATCAATTAATCAATTACATGTACTATAATTTCTGTGTTGTAATTGTTCTGTACACTTCAGGTTGAAGCCATCAACCAAAAGAGGACCATAGCTTTCATCAACCATTTTATCACACACACTGCTCGCTTCCTTAACCATTTTGGCAATATTTGTGAGGACAAACTTGAAAATTTGCATGGCCGGCTACAGCAGCTAGAGATCTCACTGAGCATACTTGAAGCTAAGGTAAAAACATGCATGGATTTAGTAAAGTAGTCATAGGGCTTTGGTCATCAACAAAAGCCTTCCTTGCAAATAAGTCCTGACCTAGTTTCTCCAACTTTTCCTACTCTACTTGGTACTACTTTCAATCTTTTTCTTGGCTCTTTTTATATTTACAATGGAAATTTTATGTGAGGGCCTGTCATTTTATGTTTTTTGTCTGCTTCATTCAATAAATGAATGTGCATGTATTTAAAGCTGTAATAAATGTTAAAATAGATAAATGCTCATTATACACAATCAAAGTCAATAAAAAAATATTGGAGCAGAGGTATTCAACACTGCATCAATTTGGATCATTACTTTATATAAAGCTATTTAAAGCTATCAATCAATATGATAATTTTGTCTATTAGCTGTCATCAATACCAGGCTTAGAATCAGTGACAGCACCACAGTCCAGCACCCTGGCACCAGCTGCTACTCCAGCTCCCACAGAGAATCCTACACCCACAGCTGCAGCACCTACAGTCCCAACACCATCAGTACCGGCCGCACCTGTACCAGCCACGGTTTGTCTGTTTTTGTCAATCATATACAGTACCTATGACATGACCAGCTATGTTGGAACAGAACATTTTCTTGTTTATCATTAATACAGAGTAGTTAAATGTGTATGTCAAATATGTAAGTCACTAGAAATATACTGTCGTTTAATAAAATCAAGTATGTCATTCTGTTATTGTTAAATAAAACATATTTTTATATAGTAGAAAAGAGTACAGTGAAGTTTAATCTCTTTCAGGAGCCAGCAGCACCAGTAGAGGAAGTCAAACCTCAGAACACAGTTTCACAAGATCCAAGATATATGAAATTCTTTAAGATGTTACAGTTTGTACGTAGTTTTCTCCCTTGAGATTATGCCCCCCTAGAGCTGTGTGTCAGCGTAAATGTCAGAAAGTTGCACCATCTAATATTATTCTTCTTCTTGGTTTGATATTATTTGAGTGGAAACAAAATGAAGTATTTAACTGCTTGAAGAAATTTACTACAAGATAAATAGGTTATTGTTGTTAAGTCAAGACTATATTAACATCTTTTCTAACATAAGATGTTAGACTAATTAAAATGTTTTTTGCCAAATTGTGACAGTGACAAACTTTTTATAGACATTTTGTGTTAGAAACTCTAAACTGATGTTGCTTTAACGACTGTTCAAAGATTTGCAGGGGTGCCACTTTTCCGGGATATCCCGGATTTCCGGATTCGAGAATCATATTTTTTTCCCTTTCCGGATTCGCAAGATTTGAGTTTGAAAATTTCCGGGTTTCCATTTTTAAAAAAAATTTAGATCGTTTTAAGCTTGAAAATTTTGGCATTGTAAAAATCGTTTTTATCGTCAACACTCCCGCTAATGGCCTTTTCCGAAAAAAATGAATAGTAAATGACGTCAGCAACAATCTCACGCGTGCGCCAAGGACCAAATACAAATCGGCTGTATCAGACGGGTGAGGCTGTAGACGAAACTTTTTGATGTCATTCGTGGTGTGGTTGTCTGGCTATTTATGACGATATGGGTTGGGGATAAAACTCGCATTATTTACGTGATGTCATCAATGGGATACCGCTAGGCTGTGTAATAAAAACAACTAAAGCCTACAAGTACTAGATCAAGCTCACTAGCATCGCCGATGGTCTTTAAAAAAAAAAAACCGAAAGATTTTGCTCCAATCAAAAAAATTTTTTTTTTTTTTTTTTTTTTTTTTTTTTTTTTTTTTTTGTATTTGGTATTACCAAAAGAAAAGAAAAAAACAATTTGAAGGACTATTTTATGTATTTTTACCACCTCTTACCCGCTTCTTCAAGGTCGCGCTGTCCGTAAGACCTACGTCACGAGACCACGCAAACACAGTCTGAGTCGTGTCTCTCGGTCAAGGCAGTTCTACAAGTACAAGCGCTGTTTAATTTTAACGTGGTTATTTTTAATAAGGGCCTACTTCTAGATTCAAGAAAAAGAAAAAAAAACTAGAACTGCATCGTTTTATATCATTAAACAAAATATGTAGGCCTGCTATAATTTAGTTATACAATCTAGCAGGGTCTACATCTAATTGTTTTTTTTTTTACTTTGGTAAAACGTCATTGAAATGTTTAAAAAACCTTGAAGTACCGTGTCTGAGAAAATAGCCACTATCACTGCCCCCTCCCAACCGCTTGTAAAAAAAAAATCAGCTTTTCACTTAGTCGGGCGGCTACATCTCTGACATGAGTATTACTAGCGTAGTTACTTCTAAAATTATTTTTAAAATTAACTTAATTCTGTTATTCCGCGATATGGACTTAAAACTTCCACGATATTTCTTCACGTCATCATGTATATCAATGGTGGGGGCGTTGGGGTCGTTCATAAATGACGTCACACTCGTAAGGGGAGGGGGGTTCGTAATTTTGTCATGAGGGGTAGGGGTTCAGATGGTGTGACATCACACTTTTGCATTATCCAAAAGCTATGTTAGAAAACGAATTTTAGCCGTTATTTCGCGTTTTAGAATATTGTTTCAATAAAGTGTAATAGGAATTGATTAAAATACTCTATGTTGACAGAGGTCAGACAAGATTTTTGGAAAATATCGTATTTTAAGAAAAATTCGACTGCAATTTTTAGGGGTGGGGGGGGGGGGGTGTAGGCTGAGGTGTGACGTCATTTTAGAGGGCGGGGTCTGGCTTTTTGTGACAGATATGTGACCGAGGGGAGGTGGGAGGTAAAAATCGTCAAAAAAGCGTGACATCATTTATGGATGACCCCATTGGTGTTGATTGGGAAAACAGGGTTTTAGGTCTTTGTTGTGGCTGTTCATAATTAAAGCCTTGAATAGCTACAGTAAGTCAACCCTGTATTTTAATACAGTGACAATCTTATTAGGGGTCTGCATATAGTGCGCTTATTATTCAATAACAAGACATAGAGGTTAGCAATTGGCTGACTACACACTTTAAATCAAGCTAGGAAGTTCTCAAAAATTAAATACAGTAATGTTATAAAAGCTGGCTGGGAGGGGGGGGGGGAGTTCTACAATAGCACATTATGGGGTAGGCCTAGAGATGGGTGGGACTAACATTGTAAACTAATTTTGTTGTAATCACAATCCTTTAAAGATTAATTTTTATTTCAAGCTTGTTACAAATCATTTGTTTTTTATCATATTGTGTTGATGACTATTTAAACATTTGTTTTTTAACGTATTGTGTTGATGACTATTTAAACAATTGTTTTTGACCTAGGGTGTCCCACCTCCTGCAGTCAAGGGTAAGATGGCAATGGAAGGCTTGAACCCAGACCTACTGGAGTGAGTACTACAGTCTTTGTGTGTTCAATTATAATCTTCTCTCTTCTTCTACTGTGGTCTGGCATTGTGACCACTGGCTGCCTGGATGTCTGCTTACTGACTCCCAGAATTCCTTGATATAACCAACAAACCACCTGCTAAAAATCTGTTCATTGAAACAAAGCCCATCTTATCTTGCAAATATCTAATAGATTTTATTTTCTGCTTAGCTTTTTTAGCCTGTGCTGTAAACCTATAACTATTTTCCAGTACACCAGATGCCCCTGCCCCTGGTGGTGCCCCCCAGACTTCTCAAGACAGTGAAGACGAAGCCTCTGACAGTGATGCTGATTTCAGTGATTAAATTGTACTCATGTTTAAATATTTTCCATAAAAAAAATTTTTAAGAGGATAAATGAATTATCCTCTACTTAAATGTTGAAATTTTTACATTAATTTATTATTCATAAACAACTTTAACTTATCAGAAAATGTTTAGACAATATTTTTTTCTCATTGTATAACTAGGTTATCCAGTTAATAAATTTTATATTTAAAATGCTGATTAAAACATTTGGTTCCTTTCAAATCATGTTTAATTGACCCTTGTTATGATATCAATTTTTTAAGTATTTAGTCCGTCTGAATTTTGTATTGAAGAATAATTGCTATGACTTAACTCAAATGATTCATGGATGTTTATATTTTCAAAAAGGTCTTGCTAAGCCAGAAAATCAGGTCATACTAAATAACCACTTAAGAGATACAATAATAAACAGATTTCTGTTTATATTGTAGGATATGATAAATATGTTTAAAAAAAATTGGTGATTGTTGTGTATGAATGTTTATATATATATTTTTTATTTATGAATTTCTTATTTTTTCCATCTTCGTCAAATGACTGTCATTACATTTTTGTGATACTTCTGACTTTATTCTAAGATATAAAATCAGATGTTCTCTGTACAAGTCTAGCATTTAAAAAATGTTTGGTTGATGTTTTTTGGGTAAATTAGCAATGGAATACAGTGTCCTGTAAACGAATGACATGTGTAATATATTCCATTGGTTGTTTTTAAAACTGCTTTTCTTGTTGATGTCATGATAAAATTGTTGAAGAATTAATAAATTGTACTGTTTCAGAGATGTTTTTAAAACAATGATTTCCCAAATATACTATGATATTAAACATTGTTTTAAAATTTTTGAAAATACTTGGGTCATTTCATTTTATTAAAATCTATTATGTATGGTCCAACAACTTATCATTTATTATATCATTTTTCTATTTCTTTGAGTTGTCGCACCTTTACACTAAATTGAGTTTCAAGGGGAATAATATCACAAATGAACCATTACTCTAATAAAATTTTCATGTTATTTCCCTTGTTTAGATTTAACTTGCTTTACATCCTTATGTGTAGAAATCTTTCATTATAATTAAAGAAGGAAGAAGATTTAACAAAGGTTCTTGATTTAAACACGCATTTAAAAACTTGGAATTAGAAAAGATTTAATTTTAATAATTAGCTGTATGCTAACGTAACTGCTAAACAAAATTATTATTTATATAGGCCTAATATTTTTTATAAGTTTGCCCGGCCTTTTAGTCAATATATTCAGTTTTCAATAAAAACAAATTGAAATGTTGAACTTCTTCAGAAGTAGCCAAATTCGTATAGAAAAATAAAATATTACTAATAAGCAGCTGTTTGAATAATAATTTTCATCACCTGAAAACACATTAATCCTGGTGTATTGTCAAATCACTAAAGATGGAAAATTGCTCATCTATAAAGCTTACATGTACCCCCGAAGAGTTGCCTGAAAGAAACTCTGAATGCGACTTTAGGTTACGATCAGGCGCAAGGTTGAGGGGTATGACCACGACTATATTTAGTATCAATGTGCAGTAACTACGTGCAGATCAAGATCAAATCTGGTAAAAATGCCGATTAAAAAGTCCGTTTTCAAAGACATTTTTCGTTTCCGGTTAAATTTTGAGATGAGGTGGTGATTTTGATTTCGGTTACCAAGCGGTCCACCCATTGAGCTAGCTAGAAGTCAACCCATACAGAGTTTCTTCCGGCATCTCTCCCCAGAAGAAAGTCTACCGCCCCCCCCCCCCCCGAACAAAATGGAAATTATATAGAAAATATATACTTTTGACACTGTCCGCCCCCCCCCCCCCGAAAATTTCAGGTGCACCCCCGGAAGAAAAAGTCTGGAAGAAACACTGAACCCATAGAGTTAGCTAGAGGTCCATCCATAGAGTTAGCTAGAGGTCCACCTATAGAGTTAGCTAGAGGTCCACCTATAGAGTTAGATAGAGGTCCATCCATAGAGTTAGATAGAGGTCCACCTATAGAGTTAGCTAGAGGTCCATCCATAGAGTTAGCTAGAGGTCCATCCATAGAGTTAGATAGAGGTCCACCCATAGAGTTAGCAAGCGGTCCAGCGGTCCACCCATATAATTAACTAGCGGCCCACCTATAGAGTTAGCTAGAGATCCACGCATAAAGTTAGCAAGCGGTCCACCCATAGAGTTAGCAAGCGGTCCAGCGGTCCACCCATATAATTAACTAGCGGCCCACCTATAGAGTTAGCTAGAGATCCACGCATAAAATTAGCAAGCGGTCCACCCATAGAGTTAGCAAGCGGTCCAGTGGCCCACCCATATAATTAACTAGCGGCCCACCCATACTACAGACCACTACATTTAAATTAACTCACTGTTTTTACATTTCAATTTCGCTGCTTTTTTACAAGGACTTCGCTTTCAAATACAGCTGTGATGAGATTGTTGGCAGTTTGTGTGTGAGTGTGTGGGTGGTATTGTGTGGTGTGCAGTGCCGGGGCCAGGTTATTTAGCACCCTAGACAAAACTTGTTAAAACGCCGCCTTTCACACAAATTAATTACTAAAACATATGTATAAGAAAACTATTAATCAAAAGTGACATATTAATTTATTATCAATTGCATAAACGTTATGAGTAGATATTAAAATCAAATTTTACTTGCCTCCTTCGTCTCAAAAGTTTGTACCTTCAATTCCAGTTTGCAAGCGTAATCACATTTTATTGAATTTTTTGCAAAGTCCACGAGTTTTAGAAAATTTTGAGTGCCCCCCCCCCCCCTCCCGGGAGAAAAAAGTCTGTAAAAAATCAATCTATATATATAATTCTCTTCTGGGAGACGCTAGAAAACAAGCTGTAAACGCGCTCCCTACCATCCCCACCCCTACATGGTCTCAGTGAGCTGTGGTTCACGCTATGTTTACCTTCGTGGAGTCGGGTTTAGTGACGGCTATTAGGGGCAGATAATTTAGTTTGAAACGATTTTAAACGTTGGGGGGGGGGGGGGGGGAGGAAGGGGGGGGGGGGGGTTATGGTCCTTAACGAGCTACTTATAGTGTTTTAAAGAAATATTTTCAGTGTCAGCGTTGGTGCTGTCGAATTCACAAATTATGAATTACTGAAAAGTAGAAAAAACAACAACTAAATAGCGGCGTATGTTAGGCCGGCTCGTTCAAAATAAAATCACAGTTCTTGTAGTGATGGGCTCTCTGCAGACCTTCCAAGGTGAGTTCCAAAAAGGAACTTACCTGTTTTAAGCTTGACTGTCTTTATTTATAATTTTTAAAATGTCTAAATTGTGTGATTATGTAACGATTTTTTTTTTAAAAATAAAAGGTTATAAATAACAGATTCCGGCCTAAAATTGTTATATATGAATCCTTTAGGAGAGGGTGAAAAATATGAACCGACAATTAATTAGATGTTTAATTTAAGACTAACCAGAGGCGTAGCGACCCTTCCCGGCGCCCGGGGACAAACTTTCAATTTGGCGCCCCCCCCCCCACTCAAACTTTTGATTTGCACCCCCCTTCAAACTTTCGATTTTAGCACCCCCTCCCCCCTAAAACTATTTATAATGCAAAAATGCAGCTAAAATGACGTTTTGATTTTTTTACAACCCATTTTGGCGCCCCCTAAGGTCGGCGCCGGGGGACATATGTACCCCCCTGCCACCCCCCCCCCCCCCCCCCCCCATCGCTATGCCTCTGAGACTAACACTGTATGTCTACTAACATTAAGTATTGCAATCTACAGCGATTACTAAAGTATTTGTTTTTCAACTTGATAATGCTAAAAAAAAACCTACCAAACTATTTTGTTTAGTTAAGCTCTATATAATTGTTACAATAGCAAATTATAACTTAAAGTTGTATTTATATGTAAGCGTTCTACCTAAGGTGCAGGAATTTGAAATTAATGGTAAGTTAAGCAACGAATTATCTCCCATTTGAAAATACAAATACCAAAATTTTATTCAAGGGAAATAACTGTCACAAGAATAGCTAAATTAACCAAGTGTAACTAAGACATGCTTGAAAAAAACACAATAAAACGTTCTAAATTTCATTATAATAATTATAAGAAAACATTTATATTAGCTATGACAGCTTGTGAAAACATGTTATTCTACATATGGAATACTAAGTATTATACTTAACTGTAGGCTTTGTTTGAAAGTCCGAAAGCGGTAGCTTTATTATAACATACTTCTAATCAATTTTGATAACAAACATTTCATTGTGAATCGATGGATACGAAACATACGTTAAAATTTTGGATCCCTTAAATCAAGGGACGCCTTACAAAAAATCAAACACACATACCTGTTTTAGACATTGCTAGAATTATTGATTAAATATAAGAAATATATAATTTGAAAAAACAAAGTTTATGGTTAGTTATAAATTCCATACTATTTAATCTATATATATAATTCTCTTCTGGGAGCCGTTAGAAAACAAGCTGCAAGCGCCTCCTTGCAGTCCCCTCCCTTTCTCTCTATCACTATCACCACCACCCCACCCCCACATTGTCTGGTGAGCTGTGGTCACGCTAAATGTTTACAAAGCTAAATGTTTACAAATCGTAGAGCCGTAGAGCCGGGTTTCTATTAGGGGCAGATAATTTAGTTCGATTTTAAACTAACAGGAGGTAACTAAGAAATAACTAAGAGGAGGCTGCTTTCACGGGGGGGGGGGGGGCCGGGAAATGTAGGGTTGGGGTTAGGGTAAGGGGGGGGGGGGTTAGTGTTTTAAAGCAAATATTTTCAGCATTGGTACTGTCGAATTCACAAATTATGAATTACTGAAAAGTAGAAAATAAAACAACTAAATAGCGTAGCGGCGTATGATACGCTGCGGGTCGGCTCGTATTATATATTAATACTGTGGTAAGATAAGATTCCTAAAAAACAAACGATTTTTCAGCTAGAGTACGCCTGCCTTTCTTGTTGTGTGTTCCGTCCTGAATTGAAATCATCTTACGTGCGATAAACTCGACTACTCGATTTACTCAATCTACTACATTCACAACACATATCAAACTTCGATACTTAAGTTAAACATAACTAGACTTGATGCTCCAGAACTACGACACCAACTCGACTAACTTCACCAAGCTCTACAAACGGTACTCACAATCAACAACGATTTCACTGGACCTACTACTACACTTTAACAATCAATATAATTCGATACCTTAATACCACAAGAAGCAATACTCCCGAACTCCAAAACTACACTTCATCACCCATTTCTTTATTACCAGATTCCACTAGACCTTCAACTACAAAACAGCCGAATAAAAATCATGAGACTTTAACACTTCGATACTTTATACCTACAAAACCATATCAGCAACAGCCTTCCGCCGTTACTCCCAAATCTAAACGATTTATCAAAACTTAATAAACAAGTATTATACTTTGAACACCCCGTCATTACAAAACTCTATACACCAGGACAGATTTCTAATTCAAAGTCAGAGAAAACGAGACTTACAAGCCTTATTAAAATTTGATAACCGTTTGAAATGTTCGGAATTTAAATTACGAACTTATTTAATCGTTTTCTACATCAATTATGTGACACCAAATTAAAAAGGCGAAGTGACTGGTAAAAAGCGCCCTGACCTTTCCAAATTAGGGAGGTGGGGTTGCATTTTCACTACCGCAAATAAATATAGGCCTATATAGATGGCTGGGCCATGTCCTACTCATGAGCAAAAGAAGACTCCCCAACAAGGCGCTGAAGTGGAACTTACCCGGATACAGTGTTTCTTCCAGACTTTTTTCTCCGGGGGGGGGGGGGGGGGGCACTTGACATTTTCGGGGGGGGGGGGGCGGTAGACTTTCTTCGGGGGAGCGGACACTGTTAAAAGTATATATTTTCTATATAAATTATATACATTTCATTTCGTTCGGGGGGGGGGGGGGTGCGGTAGAATTTTCTCTTCCCCCGAAGAGATACCTGGAAGAAACTAAGCCCGGATAGAGAAAGAGAGGAAGACCACTGGGAACATGGAGGAGGGAGATGGAAGAAGAAGTGCAGGCTACTGGCAAAACCTGGCATGAACTAAAGTGGCTCGCCCAGGACAGGGTGGAATGGCGGAGATTTGTTGCTGCCCTATACTCCACAGGGAGTGATGAGGATTAAGTAAGTAGTATATAGACCAATTTTGGGGTGGGGTTGCAAAATTGATATTTCGTCCTGGGTGCCAAAATAGATTGCTATACCTTTATAAAAGTTATTAATTATTTGGTACTTTTTTAATAATAGCGATTAAACCTTTTGCGTCTCCCTTGGGATGGAGCCCTAGGCGACTGCCTAGTTGGTCTTATAGGTAGCGCCGGCCCTGGTGGTGTGTTTGTGTGTGTGTGTGTTTGTGCGTGTGTGTATGTGTGTATGTGTGTATGTTGCTGTTGATTTTAAAAGTTCTTTTTTATCATTTTAATATTCCATTTTAATGTATGTAAATCTTGTTTTTCGTACTTTGAAGAAAAAAATATTTCCGATTGCTTAGAATTTCAACTTAGACGTCGCACTTTAGTACGGAGAAACTAGAACAGGTCATACATACGTTATAAGAAGAAAAAAAATGTTGACGTAAGCTTACAAAATGGGGTGGGGTTAAGAATTGTATAGACTCCTCCCATTGTCTCAACAATTTTTTTTTTTAAATCTCAGGTGTACTGAAGAAATGTATAGATCTATATTTGATATTAATATTGTAGTCACATACTTGTTCTCATTTTTATGGTGAATATTTTCGTTTGATCTGGCTTTAGTAGGGTCTCTAGTAGCCAACATCAACAAGTTGCCGTTACTACATCAGCCTAACTCAACTTTCTAGTAGAAAACATGATGTGACTGTTTGCCCCAAATACAATTTTGAGGCAGCATCATGTTTGTTGTTTTTCGAAGTCTTGATTACATTTGAAGGTCAAAACTAAATAGTCTTTCCATTCATGGAGTGCTATGATCAGTTGGCCGTGAGGGAGTTATTTTGGTACCAAGTGGAGTCACAAGGTCGAGTCTCACTTATTGTGGTAACTTACGGTGTTGTCACCTATTGCGGTAACTTATGGTGTCACCCCGCCTCCCCATCAATTGGTGCATCAGAGTGTTATTGTCTATAGCCAGCTGCTCGTTCAAAGTCAAGCAGATGTATTTTCTCTAAACAAAACTCTTTTCCATATGATGTTATCCGGTAACAGGGAACTTTTTGCTTTGTTATCTGAGGGAAAAAAGTTCACTTAACTTGTTTAATTTGTTATGTGAACATATCGGTTGCATCTCGTTCAACTCTAAAGGGGTCAAATATAGAAAGTAGTCAAAAGTGTGTCTTTAAGCCCCACTTTCCTCTTCGTGAAAATAGTGACTAGAGCAAAATACTCGTACAACCAATGGGGACAACTGCACTATACACACATTTCTCACTATTCTAAAAGTACATGTATTGTAAGAAATTGTAAACAAAATAAAGATGACGTTTCATGATTCAGTGGATTACCAAAACGGAGGAACGCATTGTTTGGTCGTAGATTCAAACCTTTTTCCAGTTTTGTTTTGGTTTTTTATTTGTTGTTGTTTGGGTCCTAGTTTTTATTATTTCACGCTGCTCGGTTTATTAAAAACCTTCCAGGGCCTCTCGGAAAGTAATCGATACCTGCCCTGACCCAATTCTTTTACGTCACCCAAGCACTTGTGTACACAGCACAAGAGCAATGGAAAAAAAAACTCGCCTTAAAAAAAAATTCTGTTTTTCCCGCCACTACCACCCTGAGATAATTGAAATTTGTCACGTTTGATAACTCCTTACACGAACGCTGACAAGAGTTATTCACCATGTTATTCCGGCTTGCCGCGCAAGGGACATAACTTTTGTGACCGTCTGAAAAGAGAGGTAAGTAAGTGTATAGATTATTTTTATGCGATTAAGAGTTGACGCGGGAGTCCGGGGCAAAGGATTTTAATTGAATTGAAATTTCTTTATAAAGGTAAACAATGAGTATGAGAACATTATAAATACACGCTAAAATCTTCTATACAACGCTTGCAAAAACTAACCGGCAACTTCCGGAAGGGGGACAAATGTTAAGAATGTTTTATAATCTTAAATAATTAAACTCATATATTTGGGTCTACATTTACTAAATTTATGTTTCTCATCCCCCTCGATAAACATATTATATATTGACATACATTTTACACACACATAGACATATATATATATATATATATATATATATATATATATATATATATATATATATATATATATATATATACACATATATATATATTATGTATATATATATATATATATATATATATATATATATATATATATATATATATATATATATATATATATATATATATATATATTTATTTATTTATTTATATATATATATATATATATATATATATATATATATATATATATATATATATATATATATATATATATATATATATATATATATATACATATATATATAGTTACATGCTACGTAATCTAGAATAGCCCTGTGGCTATGCAAATTAAAATTTAAAAAGGTCGTTTTTTTAATTTCTTACGTTTGAAGCTAATCCGTTTCCGTTGTGACGTCCTGTAGCCAGCTAATCCTTATCAGCTTAAGTCTGCCATGTCTTGGGTACAGACAGTCTCCCTACCTCCCCACACCCACCGCCACTGATCTCCGCCCATGTAACTCCCCTACCCCACCCTCCTGCCTGTACTGTTGACAATCACTGAACGCCGTGTTTAAGAAACTTAAGACTCGGGCTTGAAACGATATCAGCCGGTACATTTGGTAGCCCGGGTCACCGGGTGTACTGAGACACTTGGGTAGCAGGACCGTCTGTGTAGTGAGGTGTGTTCGGCGTGACTGACACGCAGACTGACACACAGACTGACACACAGACTGACACATACACACAGACTGACACACAGACTGATACACAGACTGACACACAGACTGACACACAGACTGACACACAGACTGACACACAGACTGACACATACACACAGACTGACACACAGACTGATACACAGACTGACACACAGACTGACACACAGACTGACACACAGACTGATACACAGACTGACACACAGACTGACACTCAGACTGACACACAGACTGACACATACACGCACATACTGACACACAGACTGACACACAGACTGATACACAGACTGACACACAGACTGACACACAGACTGACACAGAGACTGACACATACACTCACAGACCGACAGATCAAGCTGTTTTGACCGTCCTTATGTATGTTACTGTGAACACCTCTAGGATTTACATTTTTTCTAAGGGATCTAACTCCTGTCTGATTTGACAAGTAAATTGTGACAACATATACGACAATATTTTCATATTCTTGATCTCACTCCCGTGAAGCCAAAAGGTTTGTTTACTTTTATAAATAAACCGGGAGTGATCTCCCCTAAACTTTCTCGAATATTCTTATATAAAACAACAAGGGATGGGAACTCGGGATATAGACATTATTTTTAATCCATTTTAAATACTTAAACTTTTTAAAATAGAATAAAATCTCGTAGGAAAAAGAATTGCACACCAGCGAACGCCAAATAAAGATGTTCATAGTAACACGCAATATTATTAGTACTTCATAAATTTACATGCGTTTTTTGAGAAATCGGAAATAGCGTAAATTAGTGCTTACGGTCAAAGGAAATTACTCAAAATTTAAAAGAAGGTAGAGAATTAGATCTTTTACTTACGTGTGAAATTTCTTTTATCTATGTGAAATAGTACTCAAGTTATAGACTTTTGAAAAATTCAAAGTAGAAAAAGTACCACTTCCGGTTATCGGAAATCGCTCAAAAGTTGATACGGATCTACGATTTTGATAAAATACTTATATGTGAAATTTCATCAACCTAGCTGTAACGGTACTCAAGTTATCGTGTTTACACACACAGACACACACACACAGACATACGGACAAGATTGCAGAATTATGTTTTTCCGTATCAGTGAGGTATTAAACGTCGAGATTTGTAAAAATCTCGATTTTTGTTTTTTTGTACGATTACAAGACTTTCTCTATACTTCGTATATTATACGAGAAAGTAAAAATGAGTGATCTTGCAAAAGGGTAGCTACGTGGTTTATCGTAAATTTTTATTGTGATGTACGGTGTAGGCCCTACACTGTAGGAAGTTGTAGAGAGCAGTGTTATATCACAGGTCCTTTCTTTATTCTTTAACCGAAAACTATTTCGGCGCTTTAAATTTGTTGAATGACGCGACACAACTGGTTTCAGTTCTGTGGTTGAAAATAAACGTAAAAGTGTATAGTACCACACATTATGTTGTCAGTTGTGATGATAGGGGATGGGGTAAACAAAACACAACTTACTGCATGTAAACCTTTTATTAACAAAAGATATTAGCTCAGCGCCACTTATCATAAATTATTGTAGCAACGCCCCCATCCACATCTACATGAGTGTCCACTTCGACCCACCATTACATGAGTGTCCTGTCCAACTCTACTCACGCCACTGACCTTCTTGATACCCTTGATACCTGAAGTCATTTATCTAGTCTCAGGCGTCATCCATAAAAAAGAAAACTTTGCCCACCCCCTTTCCCCCCACCCCAGAGGCGTAGCGAAGGGGGGGGGGGGGGGCAGGGGGGTACATATGTCCCCGGGCGCCGACATAAGGGGGCGCCAAAATGGGTTGGAAAAACCAATTAAAATCTCAATTAAACTGCATTTTTGCTTTATATATATACAAGATATATGGGGGGGGGGGTGCAAATCGAAAGTTTTTGAGGGGGGGGGGGTGTGGTTTGCAAATCGAAAATTGAAAGGTTGATCCCGAAGGGGCGCAAAATTGAAAGTTTGTCCCCGGGCGCCGGGAAGGGGCGGTACGCCTCTGCCCCCCCCCCCTATTGTCATTTATTCACAGAAAAAAATCACCCTAACCATCTACCTCAAAAACTGCAGTTATTGATTTCGGACCAGCGATTTATTTCTGAACATTATTTCTGAAAACACAAGTTAATTAAAAAGATAAGGAGAGACTAGAGTTGTTTTGTAACTGTGCTCACAAGACACGGATATTTCCGATTTAGGAGCCGTCCCCATCAGCTCAACAAGCCTCAACACGATAAACTCCGACTAACGGGATGTGGTGGAGGGTGCTCACGAAGATAGTGGTCAGATGGCCGCGTATTATGCTATCAGAAGCGAAAGTACAAATAGTAAGGTTGTTTTTTAAGTTCCAATTAAATAATAAATCAAACCTAAGGGCACAACAGGAGCACAAGTACTATGTGTGCTTCCCAGTGGCGTAGGTAAGGGGGGGAGCTAGGGTGGGTCACAACCCCCCCCCCCCCATAGACCCCTCGGTATATATATAAAGTATAAGGGGGGTGCAAATCGAAAGTTTGAGGGGGGGGGCGCAAATCGAAAGTTTGAGGGGGGGGGTGGTGCAAATCGAAAGTTTGAGAGGTGGGTGCAAATCGAAAGTTTGAGGGGTGGGTGCAAATCGAAAGTTTGGGGGGGGGGGGGGGTGCAAATCGAAAGTTTGAGAGGTGGGTGCAAATCGAAAGTTTGAGGGGTGGGTGCAAATCGAAAGTTTGAGTGGTGGGTGCAAATCGAAAGTTTGAGGGGTGGGTGCAAATCGAAAGTTTGTCCATGGGTAAAAATTGGAAACCCCCCCCCCCCTTGAGACGATCCTGGCTACGCCACTGGGAGTGCTTTCTCTTAACGAAACTAAGCCTATAGCATTTTTATAGTTTATCAAGCATTACAAATCAGTACCATTGTTTTGTTGAGTGCTATTAAACACTACACATCAGGTCCGTTTAGTTGAGTTTAAATAATACGCATCAGCTACATTTTAGCCTTTATTTTCACTATCAGCAAATCTTAAGAGCACCTTGGAAAACCCTCAGATACGCATGCGTGACTCAATGATGGTGACCCCATGTAGCCGGAAGTGCCAGAGTTTGGTGTGTAGGTCTAGAACTAGTGGAAGGTGAAGTTAGTGTAAGTGGTTGGGTGGGGTAGGTCGGGGGGGGGGGGTTGTCGAGCCTGTAATGCGGGTTTAGTTAACTATTTAAATGATGTAAAGATATTAGAATTACACTGAAGTAATATTACAAAAAATTTAAAGATAACATAACAGTTGATGAGATAACGAAAGAAAATTTGTTATGATTCATTTAAAAGTATTAGATTGTTTATTACAATAACATGGATGTAAATACAACAGATGTAATTAGTCTATTAGCTTTTCTTGTTAATTTACAAAAATAAATAGATCTACATATTTTTTAAATTTTAACGGAGTATTTGTTCCTGTAAATCTTGAATTCCAATATTTCAACATTCCGTCTGTGATAAAATCAATGCGATGTTGAAGGTTAGGATCGATTAACTGTTCTGGGCTGGTTAAACACTTTCCGATTTCTCGATGGGATCGATACTGTAACTCAATCATTCGATTGACGACAATTTGTCACGCTACGCTGCACAAATTCTACCTGATTTGATTACCTTGATATGGTCTGCCGGTTTTACCGGCCAACACTGGGGAAATGGGGCTTGTAGGGTGGGATAATAGAGGGGAGAAGTGACTGATGACTTTGGGAGGGGTGGGGGGGTGACTGGTGACTTTGGGAGGGGTGGGGGGGGGGTGACTGGTGACTTTGGGAGGGGTGGGGGTGACTGGAGTCTTTCGGAGGGGCGGAGGGGGGAGAAGTGACTGATGACTTTGGGAGGGGGGAGGGGTGACTGGAGTCTTTCGGAGGGGGGGGGGGGGAGAAGTGACTGATGACTTTGGAAGGGGGTGACTGGTGACTTTGGGAGGGAGGGGGGGAGGAGATACAGCACAGATGACTCCTGACTGGGAAAGAGAAAAGTGACTGGTGATTATAGCAGAGGGGACTCGAGAGAAATTGACTTGACTGATGAGTGTAGGTAGATGACTGATGACTGTAGGTAGATGACTGATGACTGTAGAATGCGCTGCTTAAAATAAACATGGGGAATGTTGAAAAATTCCAGTGACTTTTTCATTTCGCTAGATCTAATTTTTCTTTTATGGCCGCCATTTTTCCTCATATATATATAGCTTCCTTGAGTGAATTCAATACGGATTACGTTGACTGTTCATAAAAAAATATTATTGGAAATCCGAAACACCTTCAGGCGAATTTCTACCAGCAAATATTGCTATGTGGCCGAGCTAGCGTGAAGTGAAATTTTCTGGTCTTCTGCTTTCGCCAATAAAGCGCACCGATCCTCGCGCTGTATGTTTACAATAGGATCTCTCGGCGCTTAGAATAACCTTTTGAATCCGGGCTACCCAGGATTTGTATCTTATCTCTCGCCAGATCTGAAGGGCTGGACGTGAAGGAAAGATTCTCCACTCTCTGAGAAACCAGGCTGTGGATAAGAGACGCAACTGAACTGATCCTCCCTGTATTCAACCAGTCTACAGATAGGGGACACAACTGCAAGTTTCTTATCGTGCTTAAATGGAAGGGACGCAAACGCGCTGTTTGAATCTAAAGTGTTTATTTAAACAAATTCAAACTGAGGTAAGACCTTCTGATTTTTATCTGTCATATTAATAGCTGTACTATTGTTTTTCAGTCAATTATTTACAAAGGTATTGTGGTTAGTGTGTATTTTATTTTATGTTTTAGTTAATAATTTCCATAGACATAGTGGTTAGTGTATATTTTAAAACAATTTTAAATTTTCTTAATAAGCTACAGTTGTTGATATCATAAACTTAGTTTTTTAGCGCCAGACCTATGCACGAATACCTCCAACTTTGACCAACCGCGCAGTGTATCAAAGCCTACAAACTGGTGGGCGACAACCTGCGGCTCGCGAGCTGCATGCGGCTCTATTTCTGTCTAGGTGCGGCTCTCCAGTTCCTTGCACATATATTAATAGTTATATTATTTCCTTTTCAAAACTAACTAAAATTCATAACTAAAATTATACTGTAAAGAAACACACCTAATAAACAGAATAAAACACTAATCAGAGAAGAATGAGAACAGGTGGAGTAGAGAGTACACGGACAGCTGACAGCCGTTTGGGCACAAGGCCCAGCTCCACAGCCGTGCTGTAGCCAGCCCCGTGGCAACAATTCCATGCTTGCGACAGATAGTCAAACACATATCCAAGCCAGTTTGTCGGAGTTTGCCGTGTTGAAGCCTGCCTGGCTAACGTGAGACACCCCCTGAGCCGGTGATGTCCGTAAGCTGATTGGAATAGTCCTCTATAGTTTTATTTTTTTTATTACTAATGTCATTATTCTGGCGAAACAAGTGTATGTTTTTATATGAATAAATAGTATTTCCTATTTAAAATTATTTATTTTAAATAACAAATCAAATTTATTTACCTAATCGTAATCAAATAATAAAATATAGAAATAAAAATTTTTATTGGCTCTTTAAAAACTGGAAAATTTTGTAAATTGTAACTTTTGGCTCTTCCGTCTCATACGATTGCCGACCCCTGCCCACAAACAAACCTCAAGCATGTTTTATTTGCTAACATATTTTTTTTTCTACTTTCATTTTATTTAAAAAAACAATACAGTCCGAGAGAAACACGATCATCATTTTCGTTTGCTAGTTTTTATTTTTGTGATATCTAAAATATAATAAACCGGGAGTGATCTCCCCTAAACTTTCTCGAATATTCTTATATAAAACAACAGGGGATGGGAACTCGGGATATAGATCTAGTTATGATTTTTAATCCATTTTAAATACTTAAACTTTTTAAAATAGAATAGAATCTCATAGAAAAAAGAATTGCGCACCAAGCGAACGCCGAATAAACATGTGTATAATAGTGCGGAATATTATTAGTACTTTATAAATTCACATGCGTTTTTTGAGAAATCGGAAAGAGTGAAAATTACTACTTCCGGTCAACGGAAATTACTCAAAATTTGACAGAAGGTAGAGATTTAGATCTTTTACTTACAAATGAAATTTCATTTATCTATCTGAAATAGTACTCAAGTTATAGGCTTTTGAAAAATTCAAAGTAGAAAAAGTACCACTTCCGGTTATCGGAAATCGCTCAAAAGTTGATACGGATCTACGATTTTGATAAAATACTTATATATGAAATTTCATAAACCTAGCTGTAACGGTTATCGTGTTTCCACACACACAGACACACACACACACACACAGACATACGGACAAGATTGCAAAATTATGTTTTTCCGTATCAGTGAGGTGTAAAACGTCGAGATTTGTAAAAATCTCGTTTTTCTTTTTAGCACAATTACAAGACTTTCTCTATACTTCGTATATACGAGAAAGTAAAAATGTCTTTAACATATAGATTGAGCACCCAGAGCAATTATCGGCTTGTTTTTTTATTACGTCACATAATGTACTGGCAGTATGAAATCTCTTGCTACTGACAGCTGTAATACGACACCTAGAGTCGTGAGAATTGCCCACTTGTTGATACGGGTCGTGTAAAACACAAACCTGCGGTCTGGGTTACAATAACGAAACAAACTACACGAGCACATGTCTTGTGTATTGTAGGAAGAATAGGGTTAAAGTCCATGTACAACGAGTCCTGACTTGATCGTGGGGCAGGTGAAGTAGAGTATTTTGACTGGGCAAATAAAAAAACTGCGTGATTAGAGCAATAGCCTAGGTTGTTGTACGATTTTTCTCCCTCCCCCCCCCCCCCACCCTCGACATCAGGGCTGAGTTGTGACTCCAGGTCTGATCTAAAACCTTTTGGGTCAGCAGTAGCTTGCTTCACCGCTCGACCATAACACATGTCTAGTGGACCCAGTCTAGTCTATTTTCTTGTCGACTCACCTCGTCATCGGTTGACTATTCCATCAAACTTGCTGGCTGATTTTACACACACTTGTCTCGCTTGAACTCATAGCCTCTAACGTTGGGGTCATACAATTAAATTCTGTTTTAATCGATTAGCATTAACTACTCGGTAATTTTAAAGAATTTTCACGAAGTGGGGGTCGATTTTCGATAGCAAGCGTAGGGGGTATAAATCAATATATTATTTCACAATCATTGCTAATGTTTCTGTAATTGAGGTAATGAAAAACTTTGATTATTGAAATATAACACTGCTGCCTGCCGAGCTAATGGGTTCGTTAGGGCAGAACAGAAATCAAAGGTCTAGGAAAAAATTGTTTTAACAAAACTAAATGTAAAAGCCATGAGAGGTTTCACAATGTTTTTTTTTTTTACATTGATTTATAGGTTAATCATCCAACTTGAGGTCCAATACACACCAAGGGAGAGCTGTTCAAAGGGACACAATCTACAAAGTTTCAAGGGACACAATCAACAATGTATAAAGGGACACAATATATGCAGTATTAGGGGACATAATCTATACATTTTTAAGGGACGTAATCTACAAAATAAAAAGCGATGTAATCTACACAGTTTTAAGGAATGCAATCTACAAAATATTAGCTGACGTAATCTACAAAATATTAGGGGACGTAATCTACAAAATATTAGGGGACGTAATCTACAAAATATTAGGGGACGTAATCTACAAAATATTAGGGGACGTAATCTACAAAATATTAGGGGACGTAATCTACAAAATATTAAGGGACGTAATCTACAAATCTTACTGAACATGCTGGATAGGAGGACAATGAATCTCATAAAGTTGACACTTACATAGGATTTCGTTCACGGTGAAGGGCCAGGGACAACGTGGTCACGTGGTACAGGACTAGAAGAATGCCGTCAAGCGAGACACTGGGCTACAGCTCCATGAACGTGCACAGGGCGTCACGGATCAATGAGATTGAGGGGGCTCGCCTAGAGAAGAAAATCAGCTGTTTTGAGCAGGCCAGGCTCCACCAGGTCAGGTTGACTAATCAGGTGAGTGGCAGGTCAGTTCATCAGGTCATCAGGTCATCAGGTCACCAGGTCACCAGGTCAGGCTGGCAAATAAGCTGAGTGGCAGGTCAGTTCATCAGGTCACCAGGTCAGGCTGACAAATCAGGTGAGTAACAGGTCAGTTCATCAGGTCACCAGGTCACCAGGTCAGGCTGACAAATCAGGTGAGTGACAGAACAGTTCATCAGGTCACCAGGTCAACAGGTCACCAGGTCAGGCTGACAAATCAGGTGAGTGACAGGTCAGTTCATCAGGTCACCAGGTCAACAGGTCACCAGGTCAGGCTGACAAATCAGGTGAGTGACAGGTCAGTTCACCAGGTCACCAGGTCAGGCTGACAAATCAGGTGAGTGACAGGTCAGTTCACCAGGTCACCAGGTCAGGCTGACAAATCAGGTGAGTGACAGGTCAGTTCACCAGGTCACCAGGTCACCAGGTCAGGCTGACAAATCAGGTGAGTGACAGGTCAGTTCACCAGGTCACCAGGTCACCAGGTCAGGCTGACAAATCAGGTGAGTGACAGGTCAGTTCACCAGGTAACCAGGTCACCAGGTCAGGCTGACAAATCAGGTGAGTGATAGGTCAGTTCATCAGGTCACCAGGTCACCAGGTCAGGCTGACAAATCAGGTGAGTGACAGGTCAGTTCACCAGGTCACCAGGTCGGGCTGACAAATCAGGTGAGTGACATGTCAGTTGATCAGGTCACCAGGTCAGGCTGACAAATCAGGTGAGTGGCAGGTCAATTCACCGGGTCACCATGTCACCAGGTCACCAGGTCAGGCTGACAAATCAGGTAAGTGGCAGATCAGTTCATCAGGTCACCAGGTCACCAGTTCACCAGGTCAGGCTGTCAAATCAGGTGAGTGGCAGGTCAGTTCATCAGGTCACCAGGTCACCAGTTCACCAGGTCAGGCTGACAAATCAGGTGAGTGGCAGGTCAGTTCATCAGGTCACCAGGTCACCAGGTCAGGCTGACAAATCAGGTGAGTGATAGGTCAGTTCATCAGGTCACCAGGTCGGGCTGACAAATCAGGTGAGTGACAGGTCAGTTCATCAGGTCATCAGGTCACCAGGTACCAGGTCACCAGGTCAGTTCATCAGATCACCAGGTCAGGCTGACAAATCAGGTGAGTGATAGGTCAGTTCATCAGGTCACCAGTTCCCCAGGTCAGGCTGACAAATCAGGTGAGTGATAGGTCAGTTCACCAGTTCATCAGGTCACCAGATCACCAGGTCGGGCTGACAAATCAGGTGAGTGACAGGTCAGTTCACCAGTTCATCAGGTCACCAGATCACCAGGTCAGGCTGACAAATCAGGTGAGTGACAGGTCAGTTCATCAGGTCACCAGGTCACCAGGTCAGGCTGACAAATCAGGTGAGTGACATGTCAGGTTGACAAATCAGGTGAGTGACAGGTCAGTTCATCAGGTCACCAGGTCATCAGGTCACCAGGTCAGGCTGACAAATCAGGTGAGTGGCAGGTCAGTTCATCAGGTCACCAAGTCATGTGAGTGACCGTGATGTCATTAGATTTTTAGACTTGTGTCACGCCAGCACTTGTTTGAGACATATGATGACATATGACAGACATGTCAGCATATGTCTGAAAAATTTCATCATATTACTGAAAAATTTCATGTCTGACATGTCTTTAGAGCTCAGGCTTGTGTCATCAGATTGATGTCACACCTGCGTCATCAGTTGTTTGCCATGCGTCATCATGTGTCACGTCGAGCATGCCATAATTTGACTGACCATCGTATGACTCCACTGATCCTAGAACTGACCATCGTATGACTCCACTGATCCTAGAACTGACCATCGTATGACTCCACTGATCCTAGAACTGACCATCGTATGACTCCACTGATCCTAGAACTGACCATCGTATGACTCCACTGATCCTAGAACTGACCATCGGATGACTCCACTGATCCTAGAACTGACCATCGTATGACTCCACTGATCCTAGAACTGACCATCGTATGACTCCACTGATCCTAGATCTGACCATCTCGCAATTATTTGACACATCTTCTTGCTTAAGTTACTCATTTATTTTTAAATGACCTAATATTTTATTCACTCTATATCTCGTTCATCCCCCCCCCCCCCCATCTCCAATATCAATTACACACCATTCATAAAAAAAACGTCTAAGTTTTCTACGAATTCTATTTGAATTAACTTTTCGTCCCATCCTCCCCTCTTTATGTGTATACATGTGTATACTTTATTCATGGAAATCTCTCTCCCCCCCCCCCCCAGTCCATTATCACCATTCATCACAAAACGTCAAGTTTTCTACTTGAACAAACTTTTCTTCCCATCCTGCTCACTGTATAAATGTTTATAGGGCCTATATTTTTTATACTTTATACATGTAAATCTTCCCCTCCCCCAGGCCATCCGACTGCTGACCGTGTCTCTGGACTACATCCAAGCCTCCAGTGGACACAGTCCCGAGGCCCGGACCTCCCACAGCCCAGGGACGGGCGACACCCTGCCCTTCGTCCTGTATGGCGAGAGAATATGGAACCGGAAGCGGAGACGGATCACGCGACCCACGTCTGCTGTGGTCACTCGCTGGGGGGACCCTACGTTAGGTTCGTTGGCCTTGACCTCATCGGACACTAACCTGAGTCAAGGTCAGTCTGTATCTAGTATAGGCCAAAGTTGGTCTGCTTCTAGTATTGGTCAAAGTCGGCCCGTATCTAGTATAGGTCAGGGTTGGTCTGCTTCTAGTATTGGTCAAGGTCGGCCCGCATCTTCTATAGGTCAAGGTCGTTCTTCTTCTAGCTTGGGACGAAGTCGACCCAGCTCAGCAAAAACTTCCTCTCACGAGACCACATGTGATCAGACGGCAAGACGGACTGAGTGCATGTCGCCATTTTTGACCCCCCGGGAACGGGCGACGCCCCATCAAGACTGGGAGGACGACACGGCGGAAGTGACGAAGAAAATCTTCAAGAACCAGGAGCGGGAACGGTCCGGCAAGGGCCACGGCGTGTATCAATCGGCCGGGGAGGTTTTGATCCAGCAGTCGTCCCGCAGCGTCCGGGGACTCATGCGGCAGATCAAGATCTCGGCCACGCCCATCTCCCAGCAGCTCCAGGCTCCAGAGGCCCGGCCAGGTCACGGTGACCCGCGGCTCATCACACAGAGACTAAGTACAACGCTTGACCCGACGCGCCAGAAAAAAGTTCCACCGAACGCCAAAATCTGGCACTCATAACTTGACACTTGGTCGCAGCTAAAAACTTGACAATTGGCCACAGCTAAAAACTTGACAATTGGCCACAGCTAAAAACTTGACAATTGGCCACAGCTAAAAACTTGACACTTGGTCGCAGCTAAAAACTTTCGTCACAGCTAAAAACTTGACAATTGGCCACAGCTAAAAACTTGACACTTCGTCACAGCTAAAAACTTGACACTTCGTCACAGCTAAAAACTTGACACTTCGTCACAGCTAAATACTTGACACTTGGCCACAGCTAAAAACTTGACACTTGGCCACAGCTAAAAACTTAACAATTGGCCACAGCTAAAAACGTGTCACTTGGTCACAGCTAACTTGTGACTTGACAAACATCGTACTGCAGTGTTACATAAAAATGAAATCGAAGCAGACAAAGTTAGAACACGTATTAACGCCCCTGATACAACATAATCTCCACTAGCATGGAACGAAATGTGTGGTGTAACAATTTGTCAAATACACGCCAAAAATACGTGTCAGACATCAGTGGTGTAACCCTACGCGGGAGTTTAGTTCAAAACACGTTGTGATTTATTGACAAGTCTAAAACATTTTTTTTTATCACACCCCGTGAAGTAATACCCTGTGATACCACATTTGTTGGTTGAATGAATCTAATTTTATTCCACGACCCCCACGACCCCCACCATCGTTCACACAAAGATCTGCTGCCTCGTTTTAAACTTGAAGTAGGCCGTGCACAGGCGGATGAATTTGAATGTGTATCCTCTACAGCCGAGTGCACCTAGCGGACTGCTCGAGTGCCGCATGCTCGTACATTCTCTGCTTCAACAAAACGTCTGCCTAAACAAAACGTCTGTCCTCGCTGATTAACCTTAACGTTGTTTTAACGTGTCAAGACTATGGGCTGTCAGATCACCCCGTCGCTAACAACTCGCTGTACGTCTCCTGGCTGAGCGTTACCTCGCTTAACGCCACTTCAATTAGCCTTATCCCCTTTCATGAGTTGCTGTCATAAACTTGGCCCCGTGAAGGGCTACCTGGCAACAAACACTCGACCCATCATCTCCCCTCTTCGCTGGCAACCCGTGGCCGTACCCATAATGCTCGTTTGTCTTACGTCGTCTGCCGGACCAGCGACGGCCGGGTGACAGGTGAAGGGTGAGGTGCGGCACTAACTCTTGCCGGAAGCACCTCCACGTGTGGACCTGCAGTTCCAGGTAAATATTTCCGCTCGGGTGAAACTTTTAACAGCACAGCGCACCCAGTACTGGTCGACTCGGCTGAGCGCTGATCTGATACACTTGCACTAAAGACCTGTCCTGATACACTGCACTAAAGACCTGTCCTGATACACTGCACTAAAGACCTGTCCTGATACACTACACTAAAGACCTGTCCTGATACACTTGCGCTAAAGACCTGTTCTGATACACTGCACTAAAGACCTGTCCTGATACACTGCACTAAAGACCTGTCCTGACTGCACTAAAGACCTGTCCTGATACACTGCACTAAAGACCTGTCCTGATACACTACACTAAAGACCTGTCCTGATACACTTGCACTAAAGACCTGTCCTGATACACTGCACTAAAGACCTGTCCTGATACACTGCACTAAAGACCTGTCCTGATACACTTGCACTAAAGACCTGTCCTGATACACTGCACTAAAGACCTGTCCTGATACACTACACTAAAGACCTGTCCTGATACACTTGCGCTAAAGACCTGTCCTGATACACTTGCGCTAAAGACCTGTTCTGATACACTTGCACTAAAGACCTGTCCTGATACACTTGCGCTAAAGACCTGTTCTGATACACTGCACTAAAGACCTGTCCTGATACACTGCACTAAAGACCTGTCCTGATACACTTGCGCTAAAGACCTGTTCTGATACACTGCACTAAAGACCTGTCCTGATACACTACACTAAAGACCTGTCCTGATACACTACACTAAAGACCTGTCCTGATACACTGCACTAAAGACCTGTCCTGATACACTTGCGCTAAAGACCTGTTCTGATACACTGCACTAAAGACCTAATCGAGCGCAGATCAGATGGGATTATCCAGGTTTTGTGTTCCAGCCACCAACAACTAAAGAAATCAATCAATATTGTATTGAACCCATTCGTTATGGTTTACCTTTCATGCAATAAAATATCTTTTAAGTTCTTAGAACACTTGCAATGTGTTATTTTATAGCTAGTTGAACGTGGTGGAAATACGTACATAGAGTTTTTAGAGAGAGACAACCAACTCACTAACCTGAGCTGTATGTTTTAATGTTAAATGATGAGTTTCTTCATTTAAACATACAATCAGAATGTCTATTTTGTGAACACTCAGATTTCATTGACTAAGACCAAAGGTCTCAAAACTACGGCCCGCGAAGTCCTCTCATCCGGCCCGCGGAGATCTTTTTGTCCAAGGAAAAATCGTGTGTTGGTGATGGCTGAGGAAGTTTGCCCAGAAAAATCAAAGACATACCTGGAAGAAACTGGCCCCCGAACTGAAATTTGATAGTTAATGCGGCCCTCGGACTGAAAAGTTTGGAGACCCCTGACTAAGACAATAGGATCTAGACTTGATGAATCAGAATTCATGAGAAGTGTATTGCGCATTTTAAACATTTCAAATCTCGTTTAGATGAAGCAATAACATTGTCATAGCTGATGGAATAGTTCTTCAGTGTGCCTCAAGAGACCACATGAACTACAACAATTTTTTTTTAATCCGCTGGAATTTATAAACATGTACTTTTGGCATATTATATCACGGTCAGCAGTAGAAAAATCTGTCACACCGCCGGGAAAAAAAATACTCTCTCAATCAGAACCAAGTAACAAATGTATGTGTATACTTACAGTTGTATTCTAAAGGCTTCCATATGAGTTAATGAATTTATTCTATTTGTACGTAGACGTGGGCTTATAATATCACGAAAGACGCGGAGAAAGCAATAACATAACCGGGTTATTGAAATGGAGAAATGAACTCAATGTTTACTTCATTGATAGCCACTCTGCGGTAATTTAATTTCAATCAATAAAAAAACTCGAGATATCGCATACAAATAGATATCTGGTACATACGGAAGTGGGGGGGGGGGGAATAGGCTTAACAAATTTCGTATGCTAAGTACCACAGGTGACGTTAGTGAGTTCTAGTGCAACTGAAGACAGAAGCTTGTTTACCTGTGTGACTCCGATCTGTATAAGGTCTACCTATGTAGTAACTAACCTATGTAATGACTAACCTGTGTTTTTAATGTCTACCTGTGTAATATCTACCTGTGTAATGCCTACCTGTATAATGTCTACCTGTGTAATGTCTACCTGTGTAATGGCTACCTGTTTAATGACTAACCTGTGTAATGGGTTACCTGTGAAATGTCTACCTGTGTAATATCTACCTGTGTAATGTCTACCTCTGCAATACCTGTTTATTCTGCGATTAAGGCTATCTACATTTGAGCAATCTAGCGAGAGAACTTTGAAAAACGTTAGAGATAAGTGTCTGAGTCACGGAGACTTACTTTTTACTTGAGCCAATCATTGAAGCCATGCTTACACTTACACGTTTAGATATCATTGTAAATTTGTAATGTGGTGTAAGTCAAGTCTGTTAAGTCATTTATTTTTTTAATTACTGTGTAATCGTTATGTTGGGGTGGGGGGAATACAATTACATAGATAGCATTTGATCAGCCGCATACAAGACATAATTAAATCGACTCTGTTCGAAATCTCAGATAGTCTAAATCAGGGGTCTCCAAACTTTTCAGTCCGAGGGCCGCATTAACTATCGAATTTCAGTTCGGGGACCAGTTTCTTCAAGGCATGTCTTTGATTTTTCTGGGCAAAGTTCCTCAGCCATCACCAACAAACGTGTTTTCCGTGGACAAAAAGATCTCTGCGGGCAGGATGGGAGGACCTCGCGGGCCGCATTCGGCCCGCGGGCCGTAGTTTGGAGACCCCTGGTCTAAATGTATGTTAGCGCTAAATATAAGGAGACTTTGCTGTGGCTCAATACAGGTCTGTTTATATATGTTTCTGTACGTCGATGTACGCCTGTTTAAGTCTACGTATGTTTGTGGATGTCTGTATAAGTGTGAATATGTCACTGTATGAGCCTTTGTCCGTGTATTCTCTGTATTTCTCTGTATTATGTGTTATGCCCGTATATAATGATGTACGTAGTGTGTATGTAAAGACCCCCCTCCGCTAAAACAAGGAAACCAAGGGTAAAAAAACAATGTGTTTGCAATGGAAGACGGTCAGGAAGTGATTCCTACTGGTCACGTGACCACACAAGAGACGCCCACATGAAGATAATGAGATTAAAGGGGGGGTGGGCTAAAAAAAACGGCGCCGCCCTCATCAGATGCGGATGATAGGATTAAAACATCAGGAATTGCCGGCTACACGCATGCGCGAGCCGGGGGTGACGGAGCTCGTGACTCGGACACACGTGACCTACATCCGTCGTACACACGGGGTCCACGTGACGTGTTAGCCACACTCTACTGTACCTGCATGCTGTAGGTACACTCGAGTGTATCAAATAAAGTCTCGAAAGGGACCACTCGAGTGCCTGCATCCCGTGCTGGAACAAATCCACAGAGAATAAATTATTGGATTCATACTGTGTTTTGAGGGGAATGTGTTGATTTAACAACCCATGGTGTGTGTGGGGGGGGGGGATGTGATTTAATTTGACGCTTCTGTTGTTTTAGGCCCGCCTGTCGCGCCGTGGCCAAGTGGTAGAGTCTTTGGGAGGTGACCCTATAGTATCGAGTGCGGAACCCAGGCGACCCTGAGTCCATCCACCTCGTTTGTTCACTTCACTCGAGTTTAAGAAATTATGCGAGGCTGGTAATACTGTAATATTTATATTTCAAGAACTAGATAAACTCTACTTCACCTGATCGACTGATGTGATGTTTTTGACAGGGGGCAGCTTGTGGTGTTCAGCTGAATATATGTTGACATAAGAGCTGGTTAACGAAAAAAACGGAGAAAATGGCGGCTGTTTGCCCAAATTTGTGCAGGAAAAACCCACGCGTCTCTTCCATTGACGGAAACATAAAACCTGCTGCATGCTGATCCTTAAAGAAGGTGGGGGTAGAGTTGATCTGTTTATGTTTTCAAGGTATATGAAAGAACGGTTCGGCCAGTTCACAGCTTTTGTTTTCTCCAACTTCGGCTAAGCACCAAGACAAGATGGTTGGCACAATCATTCAGACAAAATGGTTGGCCCCATGTTCCAAATCATATGGTTGACCCAATGATTCAGTAGAAATAGTTGACTCCGTAATTAAAATAAGATGGCAGACCATATGATCCAGATAAGATTGCTGACCCCCATTGATATCCAGAAACTGCTGTATTGATTTCGATTTAACAGTTCTTGAATTCAAAAAGTTTTATTATTACCAGGTTGTGAACACGGAACGGACTCGCGTCATAATGTTATCCCAGTACTTCCGATTTCACACCCGAGGTTTTTTTAAAAATGAGACAGAACAACCCCACGAAATGATGTGCCCTTATATTATATGTATAAACAGTGACACAGCCAGGATTTAGTCAGGGTAGGTGTGGGACAGTGGCGTAGCGAGGTCGGGTGTCACCCGGTGCGGCACTTAATGGTGTCACCCCCCCAGAGGCATAGAGACCCTTCCCAGGGACAAACTTTCAAATTTTCGATTTGCACCCCCCCCCCTCAAACGTTCGATTTGCACCCCCCCCCCCTCAAGTTTTCGATTTGCACCCCCCCCTCAAACTTTCGATTTGCACCCCCCCCTCAAGTTTTCGATTTGCACCCCCCCCCCCTCAAACTTTCGATTTGCACCCCCCCCCCTCGAGTTTTTCTCTATATATTTTGCTATTTTTTGCCTTGGTGTCACCCCCCCTAAATGGTGTCACCCGGTGCGGTCCGCACCCCCCGCCCCCCCCCACGCTACGCCCCTGGTGTGGGATCTCCTCTACCCACATTTTTACAGCGCCTGGGTTAGCGCTACACTCCAGATTCATTACCCTGGTCTCCAAAAACTTTTGTTTTTCAAATCCCCCCCCCCCTTTAAAAAAACTACCCCACTCCTCAAAAAAACTACCTCCCCCCCTCCTACACTCGCGGTGCGATGAATAGAAAAGTTATGTAACACGATGTGACAAGAACCGCCATAGAGCGGCACCGTCCCCCCCCCCTCCCAAACCTCCATTGTTTGTTGACCCTCTAATAGACAACCGCCGCATCATCTTGCAGGGGGCTGTTAACCCTTTGTTAACCCTTTGTTAACCCTTTGTTAACCCTTTGATAGACATCGCGGACCCCCACCTAGGCTGTTATTTGGAGTGAGCTATCCGTTACACCGTGCGGCCCACGAGATAGCGGCTCTGTGCCACACATGGCCATTTCCTCATGGCTCTCTAATGAGCCGCAATTTGGCTCACAATTGGCTCGCTTCCCAACGACCCTCGGTTTACAGTTTTAACCCAAACAAAAAAGCTAATGAAATAATGACTGATTTGATTCGCTGCGAAGAGCCGGATACTGTTTTTAAAGGCTCTGTGAACGAGAGAAACTTTTGTGGGCTGACCTTGGTTGAATGTAGGTGGTGTGGCCTCTGGTGTGTTCGGCCTCTGGTGTGTTTGTTGGTGAATTGAAAACCTTTGGAAGTCGGTTGGTACACATCACAATATAAATAGGATTACAAACGATTTAGTGTATGCTACATTCCGATTAATGGTCTACTACATCTGTATTCAAATATTACTACAATTAAATAGAATAAAAATTTATTTGCAGCTGAATACCCTGAATAAAATTGTATAATTATTTCAAAAGAGTGGCTCATTATAATTGTTACAGAAAATAAATTTTACAAACTTTTATTTAACATGTTTCCCCCATCTGTCTATAGGCCTATGTCGTGCTTCGTTATGGGTCGTAACTCGCAAGCGAAATTTCGATCACTTTTACCGACCGATTTCTTTCAAACTTGACACGTGGTAAAGGCTCACTACAGTGCAATATGACATAAGATTTGACTTAATTAGATGATAAATTTCATGTTGTTAAATTAACTGGGGTATCCTTCAGTTGCGTTACAATCTTGACACGGTATTTCGAGTAGATCCGTGTCTTGCGACCAGTTAATTAGCCAAATA